GAATAAATGACGATCTGCGCTCCCGAGTAGGTTTGTTGCCTAACCGGATGAATTGAAGGCGAACTTCAGGAGGACACCGCGCCGGCTCTTGAATACCGAATTTTTTCCTTAGGAGGACTTTCACGGTTTACGTTGCAACTTTTGGGAGGTTTGAGAAGGCTCTTGATATGGCATCATTAAATGGAGAATTTTCCCGAACTTGGAGTGGGTATACGGTTAAACAGAATAGCTTCGGAAACAGATCTTTGCGAAGAAATTAAAACGATTTGCCGCTGCAAAAAATACAAAACTTGAAGGGAAAAATTCCACAATTTTCACAAACTTTAAGGTAGGTCCGTGCATACTTTAAAGGTTTGTCTTGTAACTATAAATTTTATTCTCTCGTCTTTGGTACTTTTACGGTAGCAAATTGTTGCACGATCCCTTGCAAGGATCTTCTTGGAAAGTAATTCCATTTAAAAAATGTCCATTTAATGATGCTGTATACCAAGGGTCATCTCCAAACTCCTCTAATTTAAAATTTAGATCATATGGGGCTTCCCAGGGAAAGTACGAAGCCCTTAGATTTTCCTCAAAATATCTTTGCTCGGCGTGTTCCATTCGTTTCCCCCTGTTTTCTACTCCTTAATTCTCTCTCATTCTCATTTCCGGCACCTCTGTTTTGATGGCACCTGGCTCAAAAAAAGCACCATAAAGAAATTTTTTCCTTTGCATTTTAGTGGGTAGACTTTTCAATCTCCCGCTTCAACATGGAAATAACATGTAAGAGGCAGGCGGCACTCAGTGGCGAGGGCGCGTGAATGATTGATTATATAGATATTTCCCCATTTGAAGCTGTGGTAAAGAATCGATTATGAAGGTGTTCGTTGTAAACACCCTGTCTATCGATCCTTTTTCATAGGTTTAAATGGAAGATCAATCGATACATCGCAAAGCACGTAACGCCACTGGGGGTAGGTCTAGGTATTCCGCATTTTTCCTGGCAAAATTTCATTATATCAACTGCGCACTACGAGGAGCTGATAAGCTTTTATAATTATCTTAAACATATATTCGCCATTGCCTCTGCGGAGTTCTCTCACGCTCTGAGACACATAATCGTCGGAATCCCCTGCGCTATCGAAAGCTCTTCAAAGAGCTGACACGCCACCTTACCTTCTTCAACCCTCTGCCTCGAGCCTTTCATTGGAGGTTCCCTTCAAGCCTTCCCGAGGGAACCCCATCTAGAACTTTTCCTGACAGCCTTCTGTCAATTACAACCTGGCCAGATAAGATACTTGGTCATTACCTCAAACACATTATCATTCTCTAATTCCATGATCTGAAGCACTCTAAGTATCATTTCAGATCTGATTTTCATTTAGAATGCATGCTGGAAACAGCTTGTTCAGAATTTCAGAACGATAATTTCGCGGCTTTGCCCATTTATTTTAATCGTAGTTGCGCAGATCAAGGAGGTAAAAGTGATGCTTTTAGTAAAAAAAAAGTGTATTTTCCATTGAAACGTTTAAAAATTTCCGGTAACTGTGTTTTATTTTTTAAAAATAACTGAATAAAATTTCGAAACTATTGATTAATTCCTTTGGAAAAAACAGACCATAAATTTGCAACGTCGCAGTCGGAGATACCTATGCATTATCAACCTAGTTATCGAAATATTTCATACCTCACTGCTCCTTTAATTGTAGATTTGGTGACACCTCCCTGCATGTTAGTGACCAGGAGAACTCTACCGCATTATCATGGCTGAATGATGACTGACAATGGAGAAAAATCTACATATTCATAATTTTTCTCTGCTCTCATACGATGCGAGTTCATTTACGTGTCAAATGGTGTCATTCCACTAACATGAGGGCGTACCTACACTTTTAACGTGAGCGCTAAGAAACATGGTACTATACGAACGACAAAGTTCATCTCGAAATGCAGAACACAGCTGTTCTCGTGACAGCGGCCGAACGATTGGACGGTCTTTGAAAAGTAATGTGAGTATTAGATACTGGTCCTCGTTGTTTTTGGAAAGTTCTGGAGAAAAAAAAAACCACTTTTAAATTCCCGCACAGAGGGTGGAGGATACAGAACAATTCATCCAACCTCCTCGTACCTGAGATTGAATAATTGCCAAAATGAGGCCGTACTCAATTTTAAGCCTCTGTGTTTGCTAGCTCACAGGAATGCTCGTGTGGCAGATGCACTTAAATCAATATTGGCCTCGGAACAGGCTACAGGTGGTGATACTTTGGTAGTGCCTAGGTGCTCGCTACATATTGATTTAGATGCGCTGACAAAAAATCACGTGAAAACGAATTACGTCAGAGGAACACACGTGCCAGAAGTTCATGAATTGAGAAGGGGAGAAAAGTCAGTAATTAACGCTGTTACATTGTGGGAAGTAAAGGCCTTCAAATGGGAAAACGGACCGAGATGATTACTCAGGAAGAAAATAATCCACTTTTAATATGCACTACTCTTAAAAAATTACTTTAAATTGTGGGAAGTAAAGGCCTTCAAATGGGAAAACGGACCGAGATGAGTACTCAGGAAGAAAATAATCCACTTTTAATATGCACTACTCTTAAAAAATTACTTTAAAAATCGTATAAAAGTATGACAAGATTGTAGAGAAAACTTCGGAACTCCTGTGACATGAAATAGGAAACTGAACCGACGCCATGAGTCTAGGCTAAAGCGGTTGAAAGTAACTTTAAGCCACCTCTTCAATCGAAATAAATCCAGCGTGGGTTGCGTCTTTTCTGCGACAGTCAATTCAAGTAATATATATTCCTGCCCTGAGAACATTTGCCTAAAATGCCGATCAAATGTTCTCGTTTTTAATTTATTTTGTAATTCTAAAAATAATAGAGTGAGTGATTCGAGAAAAAGTTACCCAAAATATTGCAGAAACATTACGAAAAACGATAATGAAATGTTTTCGACAATCATTTCCCGAATTACTTACTCCATTACTATAAGAATCACAAAATAATTTTTAAACAAGGAAATTTGTTTGGCATTTAAACCTCCGTGTATATTTTGTGCTATAGGCACATGTAAACAAAACGAAAGAAAATGAAAAAATTTAGCGGAACTGATAGTTTTCAAAAGCCATGAATGAGTACTCCCTCTGAGATCGGCTCTAAAAATTACCCAATTCTCTCGCCACTCCGCCACAGCATCATACTGTGGCTGATAGATGTTTTTGAAGAACTGTAACCGCTCATGAAGCAGCGTATGGATGAAAAAAGAGAGCGTGACACATAATCAAAGCAAACCTTCAAAAAAATAATAATGGAACTCCATGAATATAACACCTGTTTGAATTGTTATGACTCGTGGCATTCCTTTTTGGAGACCTCCAGTCTCATAGATGTTTTGGAAACGCGATAAGAGAGAAAACAAGAACCATAATTTGAACGATTTGAGGACTAATTAAAGTAGCTTAGAAGAAACTCTTCATATCTAATTTTTTGCGATTTCGCGGGCCGGTAACGTTGTAACACATTCAATTAAATAATGCATTTCTCGGAAAATTGAAAATAATGCGATAAAAATCAGCACTGACTTACTTCATCGGGACAAAAGGCAACGCTGGAATTAAGTCAAGGTGCAACAGAAACCATCAAGGCTCCAGATATTGTCGCGAGATGGACACTGAGCGTGTTTCATTATAGCGCCTGGATGCAACTATTCGAGCTCCAAGGATGTCCATATTGCCTACGCACGGGATTGAAGGCGTTTTGACTTCAAACGCTAACCGCCTCACGAGCGGCGCTGAGTGGAGCGAGACAATGAGTCGTCATAACATTAAAAGCTCATATCGATGATGATACGGAACGTACAGGTTTAATGAGCGGTTTTATTCATTTTCTCGTAAAATTTCCTGCAAGAGCCACACCACACCTACAAATTACAATGAACTGAACATCAAAATTTTCGGTTTTGGCCGAAAATGTCATGTCCAACCTCTCTGAAAGGCTACTTTCGTTGTGCGGCGGGCTTTACTACAATGATCGAAAATGACAGAGTGCCTTCAACTCTTCGTTCATATCTACTTCGAAGACATCGCTTTGACAAGAAAAGCCACTTTTAGCTAATCGCCATCAAAAGCATAGGTTGCATAGGCGCGGATCCAGACACTTCGACTATGGGAGATCGAAAGGGTGGTCCGGATAGCTTTCCTTAAAAAATTCTCGAAATTTCAGAGCAACTAATATGTATGCAGAATCAGTCAATATCGTCATGAATAAGTGGGTACATAAAATAAGCAACCTTCATTTTTTCATTCTTCTCCTACTTTTTACGGGTGAGCGGGCTAACGCTCCCTACCTCCGCCCCTCCCCTTGAATCCAGGGTTGCCACAGCATTTAGAAAATGAAATTTCCTGACATTTCCCTGATTTCTCTGTCACATTTTGGTAAAATTCCCTGACAATTGAGGATAAGCCAGATGCTAAAGAGACATGATTTGAAACAGTTTTCGAACAAAATTTGTTGTTCATAACGTCAAACTCGTTTTAGAAAGGAAATAAAGGTGACTAGACAATTTTTCCCTGACATGTTCGACATTTGCATCATTTTCCCTGACATTTCCCGGTTTTCCCACGGTAGGTATTCCCTGGCTGTGGCAACCCTGTGAATCCGCCTATGACAGGCTACCATGCAACTGAGCGTTTAAGTTGCGGTTCTTAATGTTTTTCCTTTGAACGAGACCTCATGAATACCACATGCATAAAATACTATGAGGAAGGAAATCGGAGATCATCCCCCGAAAATTATATAAGAATTGGACTGCATTTTGCAATTTTGAACTATAAATTCTGGCTCTTCTGGAAAAACACTTATGTGCATAGGGAAACTAATGGCACATACGTTGTTTTTAAACCGGGCTAGAATTTATAGTTCCGAATTGCAAAATTAAGTCCAATTAAGAATCACTGCGACTTCATGCGGGTCTCACGAGGGCAAGTAAGTACACAAGAAAACAAGTGGTTTCAGTACCTGATCTAAGTCCATGCTTTTCTGGGGCTCCAGATCTTTGCAGTATTCCTCTGCACTGTACGGGTGAGCGCGAGCAGCCGCGCTGAGCACACTGTTGATTGCGACGAGACAGACACAAGAAAAAAGAAGTTTCGAGCCCATCGTCTCTGAGTCTCATCAATCCTCGCGTGCCAACTTCAAGAGCTTCTCATCAAAAACACATAATGAAACACAACTGCATTGGTTAGGATAGAAAGTTCCGATTGATTCGGCAAAAATTTGAAATGGTTCAAACTCGTGCACATGGAATTGATCGAATTAGGTAAAGCTGGTTGGGGCACAAATTTCAAACACAAAATTCGACGGAGATTATGTATCACCGATACTCTGAAAATTGTACGTTTGTTCTGCGAAAATAAGAATATTTCGCCTAAAATTCTGTGTTGAAAATACCGGAAAATTCACAACTGGTGCGCGATGTGCGAGGAGAACTGAATTTCCGTAACACACATTGGGAAAAAATTCACGCCGCGGTAGTCTCGATGTGCTTCACCACGCTACGTCTACCTTTTCTTTTCAAGATATGATTATGTAGAAAACAAATATCACAAATAATGAGGACCTTCTTGTAAACTTAAGTATCGTTAGAGAATCGTCCGGAATGATCGATGAGAAAAAGCTTAGGTATGAGGAACCGCAATTAACCAAAACGTGTTTGGTTTTTTGAAAGGGCGATACAAAAAATCGAGATCGAGAGTGAAAGCGACTAAGTATTTATCTTCCCGAAATGTTTACGAGTCACGGCAAGAAAATTTCACAGACCAGATTCACTTGGAGTTAAACTTTGTTTTACGAGATTCATCCTTTTAGGTATGGGAGTGAATGATAATGCGGCTTACAGACAAGGCAAAGAATTACTGAATTGAGAAATTTGACCACTTATGAAACTACGTCCATGTGAAACGGGACTTCCATGGGGAGGGTGTCGGTTCAACCTACGAGTGAAATATCCCGTAGGAACGTCTTGAGCAAGAGATGTGCTGAAAGTGGGCCGGGAACTCACTGAAAACGCGCGAAATCCGCCGTCGTGCGAGCGCGTCCGCGGAAGTAGTAGGAGCGGGCTACGGGCGACTGGGCGCAGAATTTGACGTCCAGTCGGTCCGGGGACGCGGGGTCGGGGCCTGGAGCAGGAGGGACGTGCGTCAATTGAGTCATACGTGGACGTCGGCGCAGCGGCGGGGGCGGGGGCGAGTCGGGCCGAAGTCTGAAAATCGGGAGTCGGGCAACGGGGACGGCAACGGACTGAAACTGAAAATAAATTAACATCGATATGTGGGAGAACTGAAGCCGGGTTCGGAGGGCCAGGGAGGGCGGCGGGGCAGCCGCCAATTGGAGATGATTAGGCCTAGCGGAGTCGCGTCCGCAGCTCCGCGGGTTCGCTCGCTCCGCGCCGCTCTTTTCGCTCCCGGCTTGGGTTTTCGGCCGATTTCAACTTCAACGGCCGGATTTTAGATTTTTAGGCCCGTAGGTGTTCAAAGAATACCTTAATTGGATAACATTTTGCAATAAACAACCACTATTTGTGGCTCATTTCAGAAACAACATACATACCAATGGTTTCCTTGGGCAGAAAGGCGCTTTTAAGTAAGAGCTAGAGATGGTGGCTTATTGCGAAATGTAATCCAATTAATAGGGAGAATATGGCCACTGGGCCCCATGGAGGGACTTAGGACCCAAAATTGTCGGCGCTTTGTTTTGGTTTTTGAGGATGAGTGGGGGTTCATTGTCAACTTTTGACGGTTATCACGAACCGCACTTGCTGCCAACCTTCCCAAGTAGCATTTCTCAACGGAAAAATCGCTATATATTGCGATGTTATAGACGATAAAATCGCCAGGATCATCAACATCTGATCGATTATCCTCGATCTTATCGCGATAGAATCGCGCTTTTATCGCCCGACAATTTATCGCGATATGTTCAAAATAAAAATCGCGATAAATGGCGATTTAATCTCGATTTTCTCGACAAAAATTGATCACGATTTTATCGAACTAAAAATTGCGATCTGTAACGATGTAATCGCCATGCCACACTGGCAAAAAAACCTCTTGGTTCAAGAGTCCAGTTTCTTGTCGCCGGATTTAAGAGTCTGGACTCTTGTTTCAAGCGGATTTTCAATTGAATCAATGCAAAATCCGCTTGAAACAAGAGTTCAAGACTCTTAAATCCGGCGACAAGAAACTGCACTCTTAAGTCAATGCACCGCGGCATTGTTCCAAGAGGTTTTTTTTTACCAGTGCATGTATCGCGAATTTAATGCGATAATATCACGATATTTTGCTAACGATATAATCGAAATAACCAACCAATAAAATCACTATTTATCGCAATCTTTGCTACTTGGGTTACTACATCCAATATGATTTTCGTCGAAAAGAGCACCCGATTAGCCGTAAAACTATATGTAAATACGGCGCAATAGTGCGTCTGAGCATGGCCGGATTTACCTACTTGCCGCCCATGGGCCGCCTGTATTTTGCCGCCCTCTTCTCATTCATTTTGAAACATCAATAAAGACCATCGAGTGAACGTGCCGGAGGGAGAAGGGTGCATTAGACGCATTCACTCGTGTTGCACACATTTTTTGCGTAAGCCCTGTGAACACTACTGGCAAAAGTTCACGGAACTTCGCGCGAAAGCTCAGTTCCGTAAACCTATCTCTGTGGGGACGAGGCCTTTCATTCGTAAGAAATGAACTAAACAATTAAGAGAGAACAAACATAAATGTGGTTTAATAATTTACACTTCCGCCGCCTTGCCGCGCTGGCCACATTGTGTTTGCCGCAATGCGTGAAGTATTCATGCAGTCTTGTAGGCACTGTGCGTTTCGCACCGCACCGACCGCTGTTGACCGTACTGTGTTTGACGCAATGCGTGAAGTATTCATGCAGTCTCGTAGGCGCTAATATGTGTTATAAGTCGACCGCCGCGTCGAGGGCTTCTCCTTTTCATCTCAAGTCCTCGTCATCATTTCTCTTCGCACCGCGCCGCTCCAGGCCAAATTACGTGTTTGGTTTCTCTCTTAACTCAACTAATTAAAGGTGCGCAGTCTTTTGTATCACCGATATACGACAAAATTAGAAATTAATGAACTCTCAGGAAATGAGAGATTTTGTCACCTTTTCTTGTTTGTAATTTTTTTTATTCGAGGAAAGAGGGGGATTGACCTGAACTTTTACAAAGGTTTCAACACTATCAAATATGTGCCTGATAGGTACAGGGGAAAAGGGGTGGAAGGGGTCAACACCAGACAGGGAAAACCAGACGGCTTATATTATGAACGGCCCCTTGTAGATCTTAGCATTCTTCACGCAAGATACTTCCTGTCTTACTCATGGTTAACAAAATTTCAACGAGTACTTCTTTACTTACAAAGAAACCCCTCTAACAATTTTAAAGCCTGGATTCCAAATTGTGGAGCTCTAGAATATTAAGAGCTTACAGTCACAAGAGAATCTGGCACGAACGATAAGAAACTATTAAAAATCCGCTTTTAAAATTGACTTTCCGCTCTTTATGGAAAATCCCATAAATATTTGACGGACCGAATCCTATGGCTGGGGCACCAGGGCCAAAATCGTGATATATTTTGAACTGAGACGTAATACTAAAACGGTCTACACCAGGGAGTTCTGGTATAATGATCTGCGAAAGATAAACTATTTCATTGAGGTACCTTGTACTTTAAACTCATTTTTTTAATTTTATAGTCCTCAATTTGTTGTGTGAAGAACAGCTTTCAGATAGGATTTCTTCCTCCATGATTATTTATTTTGAATTGCTACTACTATAAACCCCTTACAAAAATATAACTTCACAAAGTGATACATTTTTTACAATATTTTAAATGTAGATGATTTATGGAAACTAAATTGAGATAAAACACTTCATTTGTATAAAATTACTTTTAATCAGTTTTTTTATCCCTAGAACAATAGGATTGTTTGGCACACTTAATTGAAATAAATAAAAAGTGGGTTGAAATTGAGAAAGATTTTTAGAGACATTCATTTGAATAGGTAAGTATTTACTTGTAGGAACGTTTGCCTGCAATTGAAAAGCTTTTAGAGAGGTTTCATGCAATAATAAAAACCATTTTCGATAAAAGGTAGTATTCATGTAAAAAGAATATTTATATAAGTTCGGATGCTCAGCAATCACTTCATTGGTACCTTCAATAGTACGTACTATGGTGAGTACTATTAATAGGTTATTGATTAAAATTACTTCGAACATACTTGGTAATTACTTACTTTTAACAAACAAAGCTCCTCCAGTTCACAAATACTTTTAGCATATTTATAATTATTTTTCCCATTAAAAGGTTCAGAATAAAAAAAAAACTCTGAAATTTTCAAAAGTTTACATGAACGCTCATTAACATTCATGCACACAAACATGTGAGGACAAGTATTATTGCTATCAGTAAAGAATTCTGTCCTTAGTTGGTAGCCAAAAAAAACGGCTAACACTATAAGCATCAAAAGGAAAGGATGAAAAGTAATAAGAATCTTCAATTCTGCTACTTTGTAATAAGGTGCATAATACTCTTTGCCTCTTCAGGAAAAGTTTAACATTTGAAACATGCTTTGTCTACACAATAAATTTGAGGTAAGTAGACTAGAATGAAATAAGACTGTCACATGACATTACCTATTTAGGAATTTCAATAAAATTAGTAGAAAATAAAGTTGAGGTTGTGATTAACCGAGGACTAAATTCTCTATAGATACATGTATTTTCAGACTGAAACTTTTATGCTGAAATTTTGTCCAAAACATTGAAGAGCAGTTTTCTATGCAAAAAGATCTCTCAAGAAATAACTTCTATTCCTGACAAAATGTTCATGGGTCATAGAATACCTCCCTGTAGAGTCAGAAGACGTAATTCGCCTTTCTAAGGTAGCTGTACATGAAAAGTCTGGAAAACTCACTTCCTCCAAGTGTCTAGAGTAAAACTGAGAACTATAAAATCCATTCTATCTTTTTTTTCTCTATCTCTTTTTTATCAATTACTTTTCAACTCTGGAAAAATTCCTAAACTTTGCTTTTAAAAAATAAAAAAGTGCGCTGATTAAAAATGTTCTAGACTGTCTGTGCCTGATTTCAATTCTTTGCAAAACAACTTGTCAATAAACTTAGTCCAAAGCTATGATTAAAAACTACGACAGTAAAAGCATCACTGGTTGTACAAAAAAAATTGGTAACTTACCATTTGTAAAGAATGATCATTTTGCAATTTGACATAAAGACTGAAATGAGGAGATAAGAAACAACCCACATTTTAGAGAAAAGTTGGTTGAGAACAGTTTCGACTTCAGTTATAAGTGTACATTGCCTCTGCTTGAAAATTCAAAGTTGATTAAAAATATTTAGTTTGTGGAGATAGGTTAAAATTAATTGTTTCAACTGAATCTAAACGAGGTATTTTGAGTTAGGGAGAATAAAACTGAAAACCTCTTTTTTTCGGTTTCAACTTTCAATGTGGGCAAATTCCACTGAACTCAACACGCAAATTCTCGCAAATTCTGAACGCAAATTCTCTCTACTGAACTCAGTCTTCTTGTACTTCAACTACAATAAATACATTCTGAAACTAGAGATAAGTTGTCCTTATACTTCTTTAAAAATGAGAGAGCAAAACGAGAATTATTCACCTTTAGGGCATTCTTGGAATACAAATTTCCAGTAAACAGGTTACCTTTTTAAATAAGTGAGGGAAAACTACTACTGATCACACTTTCTGTTCGACTGACTGAATATGTTGAAGCTGTGCTCTTGTTGGTATTACTGATACCTTCCATCCACCTATTTGGAAGAAACAAATAAATAGATTAACAAAAAATTTGAGGACAAATAAAAACAATTTTGAAGACATTTTAACAAAGGAGTTTGGGATGACCAGACCACCTTCGTTCCTCTTTTGTGAGATTTACTTCTAGGTATTTTCCCAAAATAAATCTTGTCTTTCCATAGTCTAAAAACACAGTTCACAAAGTTTACTCACACATTTTAAAGTTTCAAATCGTGTTTTTAGGGCAAGGAAAGTCTCTCGGTAGATAATTTTTGCCTGCTTCTTTCCTCAAGACAGCCTTCATTGAGATATTGTACCTTAGAACTTGCTGTGACAAAGAATTAAAATACATTTACAACAGATGGATTGAATAAAAACTGTCTACAACATACCTTGAAACTATTCCAGAAATTTTTGAGAACTGCTTTTCTTTGCTAGATCTATCAATTAAATTGAAAAAGTTGAGAAGAATTTCAGTAAAAGAAAAATCAATATTTTCAACAGTTTCGTCGAAAGTCTCCAAGGTCTCTGGAGTCAAAGTGTCAACTGAATAATGTTGCTCCTGCGTAGACGAAAAATAAATGTGATTAAAATTAAACAAATGCACATCAAGGAAAATATAAACTTGCAGAGAAAGGACTCTAAAATCATCTGCATTAAGGCCAAACTTGTTCATAGTATCTAGATCACTTGGAAGTGACATGATTTCAAAAATAATCTATTTCTGCATTAAAATAATTTTTCATTGATTACATAGATTTCCAAATGAACTATGTCATGGGAAAATTTGCCTGAGAGATCTAACCCATCATGTGACCCTCTAAAAATAGTTTGAAATAACTTGACTTCAGGATTGTACCAGTCCTCAGGCCTTCTGATTTTTTCCTCAAAAATATTTGGCAAAATTATCTCTTGTCCCACTCACTATCCTCAGATATTTGAAGGTCAGATTCATCTAATACAGTTCCAGCAAAGTTACATCAATTTGGAGGCACTTTACCTACTTTTTAACTGCTGATAATTTTGAAGAAAACTCCAGAATAATTATCTTTTGATGCAATTTTATGAAGTAAATCATAAACTCCAACTGAAAAAATTGGTTTCTGAGGTGTTCAGAAGATTAGGAAGCAGGATCCTCCAGAATTTAATGAAAAACTATATTGACAAAGAAAGAGCCAAACCATAGTTGTATTTTGTTCGCTGCAACACCTGTTTCCTGTTACCGATTTTGTGTTATTTGCGTCACTTTTTCACAACTAATGAGAGCAAAGCAGTTACAAGTGAGGTTAGAAATCTTGTTAACAAATGTACACAACAGTCGTAACAAGCTCTGAGGATGTTTCGATTGTTTCGAAACAGTGTCGCAAAACGTTGCCAAATTGTGCAAAATAAATAAACGAATAAAAATAGGCCACACCCCTTAACATAAATAACATTCGAACAAAATACGACTGTTACGAGATATTCCAAGTTGTTTCGTTGAACGAAATACGACTCATGTACTGTCAATAGATACAATGTTTAAAAGTTTGTGTGATTTTCCATTGTTCCTCCGGCAAGTTTGGCACAAAAAAGTCAGGTAGTATTCTTTTGGAAAAAAAAAGAAAAAATGTATATGTATTTATTAGAAGAGATTTTTAAAAGCTGTAATAGATATCTGTGGTACGGCACTTTTTTCATTAGGCGGAGAAATTTCTTTTGCTCAATAGATTTTAGGTACCAGTTGAAAGGTCCAAAATCTACGGTATGATCAAAGTTTCCTGTGCTAAGACAAGATATACATATCCTTTATCTTTAAAAGGACTTGAAAAAAGAGCCTAGATTGGTGACTCTCAACTTACCAGCATAAAATCACAGAATTCTTCACATTTTGACATCATAAGCTTTAAATTTTCTAAAAGAGCAACGTTTGTGAGCATACAATCACTCACAGACTTTTCAAGGTACTGCGAATGTAACTCCAAGACATGATCAATATCTTTTGCCTGCAACAAAGAGCGAAAAAACAAAAAAATTAAAATCATACAGAATTTCAGTTAAAAACTTCGGATTTAAAACTTACAACTGCAGTTTATTTAGCACTTATTGGTGCAAACAACATTTCAAAAGGATAAATCATTTGTCAGTTGGATACTTATGTTGACAAGACCCAACCCATCCAAATGATTACCTGAAATTGGAAATATAACCAAATCATGCATGCATGAACATACCTTTTTCAGTTCCATCATGAACAAGTTGAAGTTTGGTTCAATAATTTCTTCAGTGATGTAAAATGCGAAGTTCTGAATGCAGAATAACATTCTTTGACGCAGTGAAAATGCTTTTTGATAGCCTTGACGTCCTTCCACATCCAACTGCTTTATGTTTTTATCACAAAGCCATACCCTGGGGGAAAAAATTAGAAATGAAAAACAACTAATAATGAAAAATGTATAAGAACTGAATGGAATTCTTCCAAGAATAAGTTCTTTGCAACATTAAAAGTTTCGTATTTTTGAAATGTGTACCACACCAATCAATTACAATAATTATTCAATGCTTACAGTAAAATATTTGTACCCATTTGAAAGGTACTTCTACTAAAGACATAGGGTGAAGAAAAGAACTAAGGTACATACTAATAAAATTATACTAATGAAAATTCAAAAGACATAGATACACATACATACACCATATAAGCCTTGATAGGCAACCAACACAGTAAAATCTCTTCATAAATGTACTTCCACCATCCTTTCATGTGACGTCTCCTTTGCCTTTGGTTCAAAACTTGTTTGGGCAACCTCTTCTTTAACATTCTTTCGACATGTCCCTACCACACTCAACTGCCTGAGCAAGATGCATGCACGGTAATACTTTCAGCCCTCACCACCTGGCAAATTCTTTGATTGCGGACACAGCCCATTCTCGAACTACTGACAGACTGCTGCCATAAATCCATTTCAATTGCCCTCAACATATTTTACGTTCACTTCATCAAGGCTGCACTTCACTATCATAGAGCACCATACTTTTCCAGATGATTTCATACGTTTGGTGCTTACTTGCGTTGGAAACGTTCTGATCCCCGAGCAAAAATAAATATAGAATCAGTTCATTAAACATAGATAGGAGAGATTAATTTGGAATACCTGCACAGCTGCCGTTCACAATGTTTGCAAATGAGTAGTAACCTAAAAATCATCTGATAAAAAGCCAAAACCCTTTGGTTGAAAACTAATGACATTGGCCATTTGACACTTAGTCCGAGTGAGAATGCTTCTAGCCCAGTTTGACATTTCTCCTCCTCCTTTAGGTACCGGAATTCTGAAATTTTGAAGTTGAAATATAAAAAACATTCATCAAATCATGCTGGAAAGTTTTATTTTTATTTTGAGAAAAAGGAAATTTAGTGCCTTCATTTAGACGTCTGTTTTATGTAACAAGAAAGAAACCAAAACTTGTACTTGAAATTATCAGGATAGAACTACCTACTTCCTCAGAAAAAATACCCCGACCAACACTCATTCAGTGATCACTCTTTTTTTTTAGTAGGAGTTGTTTGGGGATGTTTCAACGAAACATTTTAACCAGCTCCCATTTTATAGGAAAACTTCAATATAGCCTAATATGAATATTACACGCTTGAAAATATAGTTCTAAAATGCTGCTATATGTACTTACCCATTTCTTTTGGAGTGCTGATGTTAAGTATTTTTGACATGTGGAAATAAAACTGGCAAGGATGTAGCACCATACAGATGTCATCCTTATACGGATCGATTTTGCCACTAGAACACATTCGAATTGCCAAATCTAGAAGAACTTCTAATCGGTTGGGGACAACATCATCGATTAACTTCTGTAACTCCGCTTCGCAGGACTCCATTAAAAGCATCAAGAAATCTCCTTGTTCAAGCATGAAATACCGCTTCATTGTTCTGAAATATGATAAATTATCATCAAATACATTAGTATGATTTTGTTGGGTGGAACGATGAGGATAGGAATTTCTTCGACTCAAAATGATAAGGACGCAGTAAACAGGGAACAAGTATTTTCAAGTCCACCAGAAAGTGACTTGATCAAAGAAAAGAAAAATAGGAATTCGTCAACTATTTTCTAGAATGTCTCAGGCAAAATGAGACATATGTACTGTCTCCAATTTAAAAAACTACAAAGGATCTCTTAGGCTGAACAGGGGCCTTCACCTAATATTTCTTTTCATTCTATGAAATCTATGAAATACAAATGAAATGAAAATTTCTTTATCTATGAAATTAATTAGAGTTTTATTATCATATGAGTTAAGCAATGCAATAATGAGGTGCTACATGAGGTAAAAAGTAAAGCCCTCCTTTATGTTTCTTCTCAAAAATTTTACATAAAATATGATTCACGCAATAGGAAGTTTGAAAATCTAATCCTTGAGAAGATTTAGGTAAGTAGGTACGCATTCATTAATCTTAGTCATAATTCGGAAAAATAAATGATGTCATCAGTGTAATTTGTCCCATTTGATCAGTGATAAGCGTACATGCTGATACCTTACTTTAGATTCATACCTTGTCTTGTGGGGCATTGCTTGCAAGACATAATTTTCTATGTAAAAAGACTCACAATAGTAGGAGCAAAATACAATACTAACCTGAATCTGTTGACAAGATCATACTCCTCCATGATCAGTTTTAGCAGGGCACTGCTAGAAAATTCATAGGCTCTGTCGATGGCATCTAGATAACTTTTATTCACAGGATCGTAACTCAAGTTTTCCATTGGCGGTGGGAACATTTCTTTGATCTTCTTGTTCTTGCACAGCCTTATAACATTTAGATACTTCCCTGAGCGAAGAATCTTCTCGCCAACTTTCTCAAGAAATCCAGGGACATACATTTTCCGAATCATGTAGCGCTTGGCCCAATACTCATCACTGCACTCTCCTTTGACAAGGAATGATGAACTTTCAATCACAACATTATCTTCTATCATGAACTCATTGAATGGGTCGAAAACACGACCTTTATTGATCCACTTATCGAGAGACTCAAAGAATGGAACAGAGGCACTCTTCAACAGGTATTGACAAGTTTGAGATGCTTTGAGGTCCGCAGCGGTTTGAATAGATTCTTGATACAGAATGCTCAATGTTCGACCCCCGAAGGCCTTTGACTGGAAAAGACAAAAAAACAGCAGCATTAATTAAGAGGAGATGGGCGTTCTTTTAAGACCTTCTCTTTTAGTTGATGCTGAATGATGCATCGATTTGCTTAGGATCTAAAATGATGAAATTAATATGTGTGAGCTCTTGGGATAAAGATTCAAAAGAAGAAGAAAATTGAATCTTTCCTTGATGAAGGGATTGGCTTCAGTGGCCCAATTATTGAAACTGTATCAGCACAACAAGACTAGGCAAGATTAGATAAAGCCTCATCTTCACCCTGTCTGAAAAAAAGAGTTCACATAAATGAGGACCAGTTTCACAACTCTCTCTCTCTCTCTCTGAGGCTCTGCGATACCTAGCTGCCATGATCCCTATCCTCCCTCAGCCCTTCAGGACATTGGAACTTCCTCATTTCTTCATGATAACAGAACAAATTCAAAAGATTAAAACACAATTACCAGTTGGATTTGTCAAATATACTAAACAGAACCTCTGTTGGTTCTAAAAGATAAGGATCTAACATGCTTACTTGAAACTCACCTTCCCTATAGATTGGGCAATTTTTGACAAAATCATGACCGAGTGTGTAACTGGATATGCATAGCACCACAACTTTTCCAACTTTAAGTCATGCTGCCTGTGCAGGTTTTCCATTTGAATGACGAAAATTTTATAATCAGACATAAGTGAAGTTATTGCTGCAGCAAGGGCCTGATTAATGCGTCCTGAGTTCAGCGCCTGTTTTTCTAGTAAAAAATGTGCGATGACAGAGTAATGTGCTGCCACTGGTAAAATCTGAACGAGGAGGTTTTTTAGAAGAACATCTGTGTTGGGTGGAAATGAGAAAGTAGGCAGCTCATAAGGCACCGAAGGTGGCTCAACAGTAATATATTTTCCATTGCACCCCAACATGAGGGATAACACGTCATCAACTAAATAATAATCTTGTGTGGATTGTGGCACTCCATCTGAAAGGAAAGGATTTGAAAAAAAATTAGTTCATGGACAAGAGAGAAAATTTTAAGAAGTATTGGATACTTTTTAAATCTATAGAATAAAATTACATTTAATACTTTTCAAAGATCTAATCATTCATCTTGTTGATGAAATTACTAATATCAAGTACATGATTGGATCTCCGTTGGGGAAAAAACCAGGTTTGTCGTCCTTGATTTGTCAATTTTAGTTCGCGATTTCATTTCCTCTCTTTGAGCTGGAGACAAGCTCGTGTTTCATACTATCGGTACACTCATTTGTCAATTATATAAATTTAAACTCTAAGTCCACTCATTTTTTACAGAAAAAGACAATTGTTTTTGAGCTGCATACTCTTTCTACAGCTATATCACTGATGATATCAGAGATAAGGTTAAAGATAAAGTTGAAGCAGCTCCGAAACAATTATCCTTTCTGTAAAAAGCAAGTAGGCTTAGAGTTTAAGTAATTGTAGAATTAACGATTCGGTGTGCCCATTGTTTTAAAAGCTTATTGTTTAGAAAGATCTATTTTCATCCACAAGCATACTTTACAGCTAAATTTTTGAGGGTGGATATCAAGCTAATGGAAAAAAATGGGTATGCAATCACTAATTTTATTAATATAGATTTAATTTTTAGCTATTAATGCTGTAATTACGCAGATGTTATTTGAGGTTTATTTAAATATTTTCTTCTTATTGCTGATGCATTTCAGTACTTTTCCCATCCTTAAGGCACAATAAGTCATAAAAAAAGAAAAAAATATTGAAATATAATCACTAGTTTTGTCATTTTTCACGATTTTGCTTGTGGTTTTTTTAATTTTATCCAATATAACAAGTTCATCAAGTCCTTGACAAATCATAGGACCAGAAAAAATTTGATGTGCACTCTTATCCTGATTAATATCTCATTATTTTTTTATACTAGCAAGAACTAAATGAATGATCTAGATTATTTCATGAAGAATGATTTCAGTAAAAAGAAAAAACAAGTGGCTAAAAATGTATTGGTTCAATTCATGGAAATCCAATCACTGGTCTGATCAACTCATTTTTGAGTCAAGAATAAACCAGTGGGTAAGAATTAAAAGTACCTCAAGATATGACACCTCGTAAAAATTTCATGTGGAACCCATGAACCACGTTAAGAGACTTAAGGTTACATGAGGAACTAGCTTTCCATGGTCTCTGCTAAAACCACTGAATTCAAACTAGGTAACAAAGAAAAAAAGGATACATAATTTACTGTTGTCAAAACAAAAACAAATTCAACCAAATTATAAGGAAAATAGAAATTGAAACTTTTTACTACCTAATGGAAGAGGAGGATACAGAGCATCTGAGTTGTAAATGAAATCTTGGGACAGAAACGGGCGCCTTCTGGATACATTTGCAAGATTTTCAGTAGCTTCTCCCTCCTTAGAATGGATTTTGGTAGTTATTTTATCAACAACTTTTACCAATTTACTTTGTATCTGCACAAGAAACAATGGCGAACACGTTATAAACTAAAGGGTACATAATTTTAGGAGGCAAATCAGCAAAAAAAAAAAAAATTATGGTCATTCCCACAATGAACTGTCAACAGTAGGAGAGAGCTTAATCAAAAGGCTGAGTCACTGACTTAGGCATGAGAAATACACTATCTTGCTCCTGAAGACATCTGAGTTACAAGGAAAGATAAAAAATTAGAAAAAAAATGAGCTATTCATTTGATGAGACTTGTTTAATATGTACTAAGACTCAGAGACTGTACTGAGTTTCATGTAAAAGATTACTGAATATATTCCTATATCTATAATTATTTACGGTGACTTGATGACCTCCATTTTGCATAATACACAATTTAAAAATGGGAATATCCCAATAAAGCTTCCTTCATGCAGGTATCTCCTGTGCCTTTGTTCTGGTAAATAAATTGTTTTTATTTCAGAGTTTTCTAAGAGCCGCAAAGCAGTCGCTCGTAAAAAAAAGATAAGAAAATTTTAAGATACCTTCAAAGCCTCATCAATAGTTGAGGGTTCAGGAACTCCTGTTGAAATAGTATTAGATGCTTTCTTCCGAGATTGGTTTAGGGCTCGCCGTGCTAAAACTGCTGATAATTTTTTGTCTTGCTTGATGTGATGTAAGAGCTCTATGTATTTTGGTAAGACATCTAATCTGAAAAATCAAGAGAAAAACAATAGAAGGCGCCTGGGAAAAGTAAATTTGTGGTTGCCTTCAGACTGATTTCAAAGTACCATTCGAATTAGAAAACAGTATCTTCTTCAAAAGAAATAAAGGAAAGTGGATTCTAATGTCCACCATCTAGAACCTGCACAATATTGTCTGAATTTAACTCTCCAGTCATGGTGGAGGGAAACAAACATGGATGAAGGGACTGCAGCAAAGCATTATGAGAAAAAAAGTCTTGCTTCAAAATAACGCTTTTAGTTTCATGGCAACTACATTTACAAAAATGACTTACTTCTTTTCTTGCAGATCGCTGTATTTGCTAGAGAACTGGTCCCTTGAAGTTTCCGGAGCAGAATCCTTCAGTTCATTAAAGCACTTGTCTACAGAAGTGGGTCTGTTCGCAAAGTCTGCATCGAGTGCTGTGAGTTTTTCAATGAAATGTTCAGGAGAGGCAGGAGCCCTACAAAAATACAAAAATCCATAAATCAAGTTGCAAAGAATTTCCTGGAGCTGAATTTTGAACTGGCATTATGCAAAATAATGATTTTCTTCTATGATTATTTTCCCCGTAGAGGTTTAACAAATCATGCTCACAAAATAAATGATCTGACTTGCCTACTTACTCAAATTCACCATTCATAATCATACTTTAATGGAGATGAATGATTTTCTTGTGGTGTCATTCACTAAATCATATTTTAATGGAACAGGATGATTTTCTTGTAGTGTGATTCTAAAAGGCATCTGAAATGAGTATTCATGCTTCAAGACTTAAGAGACCCTGCGCAATCTAAAAGACGTGCGCTCCACCTCACCAAAAATGTATCAAATAGCATGAATTTACAGAGGTTCACAGCTAAACAGCCTAAAATGATTTCATTCACATCATACAGGCATGACTGAGAGGCCATTGCATTGTGGACTGTTTCACAAAATAAGAGGATTGTTCAAAAACTTGAGTTTGAAGACAGGCTTGCGAAGGGACTGTCAGACAATTTGTTTTTTATCAAGGATAGTGACATTAGCTGACTGCTCTGATTTTGGAAGAATCATACGGATTGAGTGAGACAAATGCTGAGATTCTTCGAGTGTTACCTGATAGGGGAGCATATCAAACATTAGTGTTATCCTGCACAAGAAGAGCATACCATCGGCTCCCTACTTAGTAAACGCCTGTCTATCAGAAAATTAAGAGTGACTTGACTCCATCTATAGCATGATAAATAAACAAAATCGAAGTAAATATGACAAGAATAAATTGCACTTACTCGCAAACATCGATCAATTCTCTGACTAACTTCTGAAGTTTAAATTCACTCATCTTGAAGCTGAGGATGTAAACTGAATTTAGCACTATGTTAACTCCATTGAACTCAGACTAAAAATATTAAAATTAAGGGTTACGTATTTCTTTTTTAAGGGCACATTAAATTTATTTCACATTATAGAATTTAGTATGTATTCACGGATTGAAGCAATTCAGATTCAGATTCAAGCTGGACTTCCTCTGTTGACTTGACTACACATAACCTACAAATAGCAACAAAAACAAAAACAAAGAAGGCGCCATACAGTACAGTACACCAACTACCAAATATTCTTCTTCAGTGCCCGTCAATATATTTTTTCTGGTCATTGTTCGTTATTTTCGTGAAGAATCAAAATAAATGCAATATTTATTTCAACATAATCTTTATTAAATGAATTTCAAAAGCATACTACGATAACAGTGGGATATTTTTACAACAAGCAAGGTTCAAGCTGGCAACCGGCAACACAGTGGATTAGATTTTGGTGCCAGACCAGCACTGCAAAATAACCCATTTGCGGTAAGTATAAAAAACCCAAAGATCCATGTCTAACTTTCGGACTTACAATTGATCAAACTTCTGACATGAGTTGCATAGGTACTTCAAAGGAGTATTGGGAGGAAAATCAGAAATCTGTGGTAGCTGATCAGTAAAAAAGGTGTAATCCGAATGCTATATGAGGCCATAATGTGATAAGATGGGCAAACTTAGCATCTTCAGTGCTTGCTCCGTAGAAGTTTAAAAGAATAGCGCAATGAGCACAAAGCATCCTAAAGCCAGTTGCAAATAGTTTAACTCGATTTCTCCTTAAAAGTCAGCAATGATTTGAATATTTTTACAATTTTTTTAAATCTTTAAAAAAAAGGAACGAAACAGAACAAGATGAAAATCAAAATATTTTATTTATATTATGAGCATTTAAATGCTAAGAATTTTCTTTGGAAAAAAAATTTCATGAATGGGAAGATGCAACATTTCATTGATAAACTTTCTTACAGTGCATCTGTACTGAAGTAGATAATCACTATTAACTTGACTCTTCATGGAGGAGATAGAAACTATTTGATATTAGAATCCTGAATCTCTCACAAGTTATTACTTCTTGAAAATACGAAATTTAGTGGGAGGGGACAGCAGAGAGAGTCTGCATGAATTTAAATCTTTAATAATAAAAAATAAAAGAACAGGAAATCAAGAGAAATGCGCATGGACGAGAAAAATTAGTGAGTTTGACACTTCAAACTTCTCTGGGAGTCAAAATCAGATGAAAAGCAAATCATGTTTCTGGAAGTAAATTGAATGTCTATTTAAGCAGATAGGATTGAAGTACCTACTTAATCGCAGACACGACGATAGCCATTAGTATAGACTTTAGGGTGAAAAATGGATTCAATATCCTATATGCTGAATCAATAATCTAGCGGCTTAGGAAACGGTATTCGATGGTAAAGGGATGAGGGAAAAAATCGAACATGTAAAAACTTTTGTAATCTGATTTATGTAAAAGAAAACATTGGAATTTAAAAAAGGAACACAAAAAAATTTAAAAAGATCAATACTTCCAGTAAAAATTAAGTACCAATGGAAAAAAAAATATATATTAAATAGGTACATATGAGGGTAAAAAATTTGGAGGAATTGGAAATTTCTAAAAGACTAAGCAAGGAATACTGAGAAATTCGGCGCCGGCTAAATTTCGGTATTATTTAATAATTGATATGGTGTTCCTGACAGTCTCGGGAGAACAATGAGCTTTTGAGATCTAAATTCCCACATGTCAATGTTGAAGAAAAAAAGACTATAGAGTGAATTTTTTGGTCTTCTAGTGCGGTTTTCTGATGGAGACATGGAGCTGTTGCTATGGCTATGTTGAAGCTACTCCGCACATCAATATCATTTGGAGGAATTTCACTCTTTCTGTCTTATTTTTGCAACCTGCAAGGCTACAAAAAATATTTTTGATCACCAGTCAAACGTTGCGACGCTTCTACTAAATGCTATGTGTAAAAATGCTAAAAAAATTCCTTTCCAAGCTCCCTCTCCTCGAGATTGGCACTGGAGTTCGATTTTATAGACTTTGCATGCTCAGGAGGCTGTAGAGCACATCATATCAAAGTATGTAAAAATCTAGTTTTTCGGTTTTTTTAGTTTACCGAATTTCTTGGTTTTTTGTACGTAGTAATTCAAGTAAGGAACTCAGTAAAAGAAAATAACAAGCAGCTCATGATTTTTTCCTTGATTTTTTAAATTGTACACATTTCTTCTAAGGGACACTCTTAAAAGTAATTTAATGGTAATTCGCCACATGTCTCAACCACTTAACTAATCAGTCAGTGAATGTATTTCATTTAAATGAAAAGTCATAACTTAAAATAAGACAAAGAAAAATACAAAAAAGGTACGACTTGAAAAAAAAGTTCAGAAATAAATAACTGAAACGATGATTTAAGGTGCAATTGAACTAAAGATTGAGTGGCTCATTCTGTAGTAACGTACACACTCACAATTCACACTCACAATTTCTTCTTCACACAGCCCTGCAATTCATTAAATTATTTAGGTGGAAAAAATAACACAGTTACCTGCAAAATGTGAGCAAGTGCTGTAAACATTTAAGAGAACACAGCTGGAGCTTCCTTACGCAAGTATGATTCAGCTTTTTTTGCAATAAGCTGACGTGTCTCCAGATCAAAGTTGCAAATTGCATTGTAGACGATTTCCGTGAATAATACAGCACTTGCACTACTGTCAATACTGTCAACCAAATGAGGTATAAAACTTATGAGTAATTTCAAGTATGATATTGCGATCTGAGATCTAATTTTGGCTGGGACTGTCTGGAGAAGAAGAGCTAGCTTCCTAAAACAATGGACTTTCTTGGATGTGGAAAGTGTCAGAATATGTTTCAATAAAAAGTTCTGAAACAGAAAACAGAGAAAAAGGCAAATTAATGATGTTTATTTTCTCCAAAACGTATGATAAAAAAGTTCTCTCTTCAGCTGCGCTCCTTGTTTTGCATTTTTTGTAAACTTTTGATATATTAACAACAAGAAAAACACGTTCCTCGACTTGCAACAATATAAACTTACTGTCAGAAAGTCATTTCTACATTAAACATATTTTCTGCGAAAAATTCAAGCAATGATTTTTATTCATGTTTTTGTATTTGAAAGATTTAAAAAAAATAATTATAAAAAACCCAAAATCGAGCTACGCATTTCCCTGGTTTCGTTACGGCTAACCAATGGCGTTTTTCCTGGCTGACCATGCCTTTACTCTTAAACGAGTAATTGATAGAGAGCTTAGTCCAATTATGACCATAGTTGGATCGTACTTAGCAAAGAGGAACCAGCGCGATTACGGTGTTAAATTTCAAACATTTTTTAAAGTGTTAAATTGGATCGCATTTAGCAAAAAGAAACCAGCGCGATTCCAGTGTTGTAAAAATGTTGCTCCTTCATAATTATTCACAGAATCTCTTAGAATAGCAAATAGTTTTTGCTTCCCACCAAAAATTTGTTAATTTCAAAGGAAAACAATTGTGCAAATGTTAATACTATGCTTAGATTATAAGTATTTTTGAAAGAAAAGAAGAAATTGCACGATTTTGAGAACACTGTAATCGCGCTGGTTCTTTTTTGCCAAATGCGATCCAATTACAGTGCCAATTTTTTTTAAGAAACCGAATTTTATAGAAATGCATATTATCTGCACCTGGATAGGAGATTTTTTTGGGCCAACTCGACCTGTCAGAAAATTAGTAGGTGGTCGAGAAAAAATGGTCGATTAGGAGTCAGTAGCAAGCGATAAGATGATGTAGCCCAATTAGCTATCTTAATAATATAATGTTCGGTCCTTTCAGACTCAAAACAAACGGATCAGTTTTACATAAGGACCAGGGGCTTATGGGGCAGCCCCTTATTTTTTATGTACACTTTTCCCTTTCACATGTCTTTTTTTTATTTATTTATTTATTTTCATTTAATTTTCTGGTTTGTCTTTGAATTGTTCCTAATTTTTTCTTTGAAGTAATGAATGTGACCAAATTTTTTTCAAAAATTGTAAGTTTATTTTGTAAAATTTAAATTAAAATTTTTTATAAACCTTCATACAAACTTCTTTTTAAGCTTTCACCTTTGTTTTTAAACTAAGTTTTAAGTATCGGCTTTTTTATCTTCTAAATACTTTACTCTGTTTTCCTTTTAATTGTTGCTTCTTCTTTTTCGATCTCTGCTCTGCTTTTTTTCCAATTTTTCCTCCAACTCTTCTCTTTTTCGTTCCTCCTTTTTTCTTCTTTTTCTTCTTCTTTTTCTGCTCCCTCTTTTTTTCTTCATTTTCTGCTCCCTCTTTATCTTCATCCAATTCTTCCGATTTTTCTTCTTCTTGTTCCTGTTTCTTCTTCTTTAGGTTTTCCGTATTTTCTGTTTCAGAAGTTTCTTCTTTTTCCAGTTTCTTCATCTTACTGTTCCACATGAATGTTATGAGAAAGAAAAATTGGAGGTTATTGACTTGATGAGGAAAAATTGGAAATAGGAAAAAGATGGAGCCAATCATGATTTGGGGGTAAAATTGGAAAAGAAAAAACGCGGGAAGATAATATGACAAAGTGTAAAAAAAACGCGAGAAAAGAAAAATGTAAGTTGATGGCAGTTGAGTGTTGGAGGTAACCTCATTTAATGATGATTGTTGAATGGAAACAGCTGATAAAAAGTAGTAGTAGTAGTAAAATAATTTTATTTTAAAGCGGTGCTTTAGCATCTAAGGCCATTTACACCTCTAAAGAGGGCAGTAACAATAATAAATTTACATGGAAATATCAGACAGCAAATAGTAAAGTAAGATGCTTAGCAACAAAAGATTTCCGAAAAACAAAAAAGAAAAAACCCCTACTTCCCCTCATCCAATTTATGAGTTTTTAGGGATTTAAAAATCGGGGACAAACCCCAGAAAATAATTTATAATTTTCCCGAAGCATTGAGTACAACACCTTTCAAATGAACCAACGCCCCTTGCAATTAGTACAGAGGTTAATTCACAATTTCATTCTATTTTTCAAATTATATATTAGGATTACGCAATACCCTCATATTAAAAATTAGGTAAACTTAAATTGACAAAGAGGAAAGTTTCCTGAAATGAAATCATTCACTTTTGGTAGGTAAGACTAATATTGTGCAGCTTTGAAAAGTGTCTCCTACTTCTGCGTTCAACAGGCTTATTATTTTATTTTAATTCTTCTTCTGCTTTTCTCAGGGTTTTTCTCATGTTTTAATCCCACCTCTTGTTACATATTTGGGTTTGTTTATTTTACCAAATAATTTAATGTACAACTTTGTACAGCCACAAAATCAAACGCTAGTGCAATCTAAAAGTTTACTACTTCTTTACTTATTTTATTGTCAACATATGCACATTGATACATTTTTTAATTGGTAGTTGGTGCTAATTTAATTTCTTATTCTGTATGCCATTTCATGTAACTTGTAAAAGTTTTGAACAATAAATCTTTATATATATCTTCTGCTTTTGACTAAGAACAGAGCCCTGATTGTCTGGCCTCTACTTTAAGGATATAAATGATCATCTGGGTAAAACAGGCAGCCCTATGCCCATCTCTTAAGCGGTCGTCCAAATTACATCTGACCTTGAGGTTGCCCAATCATACAAAGCTTAGCCAGCCTTTTCCCATTCATCCTCTTGGCATCCTCGGACCACATTTCCCTGTGCGATTTTGGCCATTTGGCTATATCTTGGACTTGGCAAAAATTCTGAATGGACTTGATAGATATATATATTACATATAGTATTGGACTCAGTATAAGGGTGTCTACTGGCACTTAGAAAAAATTATGTACATTTTATGTATTTTTTAAGTATGATCAGAAAAATATTATGTACTTTTAAAAAAAAATTATGTATTTTTGGTGTATGACCCCGACAAAATTAGCACATTTTCTCCACTTACTTTCTTACCGTCCGTTTATGCGATTACAAAATTGCTCAGCGCTTCACTGCTAACTTGTCGCACTTTGAAGACAATTAATTTTTTCAAATTGATTATGGGCTCATTATGAGGGCTATATACAAGCTTCCATAAAAACTAATTATGTTGTAGATAAAATGCAGTTATTTTTGAAAAAAAAAAATTTGGAGAAAGCATGAAAAGGATAAGCAGGTTACGTTGTGACGCAGGTAAAAAATAAACATGATACACTTCACCGAGCATCAAGCCCACCCGACGCAGCACACCGTGCATCGTCGCGGACCAATCACAGCTCATCATTCCCTCACTGTATCTTGCAACGTACTCTGGCGGCGTAAAGCAGAACTAAATCTGCAAAATTCAAACGAGCACGCTCTGTCTGCCGCGCGCAGACTTATACACACCATACACGAGTTACATACTCTTTCTGAAAAAATGTGTTTTTTACACATTTTACGTATTGACCCGTTAATTTACGTGCATTTTACATATTTACGTATCAGTAGACACCCTGCTCTGCATGTTTCAATTCATATACATATTTCAATTTGCTTTAAAAAAAAAAAAAAAAAAAAAAAAAAAAAGAAAAAAAAAACTGCAGGAACTTTAATAATTTAATAATTTAGAGGAAGCAACAGTGAAACTCATCAAAAGCTGTCAAACTATGAATGAAAGAGCATAGATGAAAAATGATGATAAGCACTGTTAAGAAATACATCAAATTTTACCAACCATTATGAAACTATTTAGGTTGACCAAGGCATACTGGCAACAGTTGGTTAAAGGGCGACTTTGAGTGTTGTCCTCGCCGAGCTTCATTTCCAAAGTATAAATTCCCACCAGGAAAGAATTGACTAGTAAGTTGAAGATTAAGAGCGCAGACTCTCCATTGAACAGCTTATTACGACTTAAAGTTAGACTGAATAAATTCCATTCTTCATCGCAACTGGTGGACAATGTCTGGAATGAGAAAAAAAGTTTCAGTGTAAAGAAATAGGACAATATAACGATGGGAAAAAAACAAATTACCAACTCCGATTATAAACTAATGGGCAAATTACATATTGAAACACTTCTTTCCTAAGTTCCTCTTATAATTAGTGCTTAAAAAATTATGCATTTAACAAAAAGTTTAAGAATTGATGCCTTAGCTTATTGTTAATGATAGCAATTCTCAACAGTATGGTTAGAAAAATCAAAATTCAGCAAGACAGGCATCACACGTTTTTGCCCAGGAAGAGGAGGGAAGGATATCTTGAACTTAGGGGCAACATGAAAAAACCCATTACCGATATGATAGTGTGAGTACAACGACAATGGTCAAAAAAAAAATAATTGCAAAAAATACAAATTCATAAGTAGTATGAGATTCTTAGGCTGTTTGTGGGCATTTGAATATGGATACATTTTTTCAGGAAAGAGGACCTTATACTTTCAGTGTCTTATTTATTCGAACCATCGTAAGGTATGGGCATGAAGAGAGAATGGCTGATACCAGGTTGCCAAAAAAAGGTTTTGGAATGGGTCTTTTGAGGCAGACATCGTAAAGGGCATCCAGCTAAAAAGTATGTAGATGGCATCCAAAAAGAGATAAAGTAATGCCAACTTCCGAAAATCTCTACCATGACAAATTACAGTGGTACACAGCACCCTAGTGCACTATTAAAGCGACTATCACATACATTTATTCGAACATAATATAGAGCTTCGAAATTCAAAAATAAGCAAATTACTTACATACATTTTTCTTTTTCACAATGGATTGCAAAATTTTCTGCGAATTAAAATGGTTTAATAAGACTTTAAAATTTAACTCAATTGGAGTAAAAAATTACCGAAAATAATGCCCAGGCCATCTCAATTTTAGAGATTTTACTGAGAACAGACAAGTCAAATTTGTCATTGTGCATAGCATTTAGAGCAAGGACAAAAGCATTTGGTTCTTTCCCGTGCGATACGCTTGCTGCAATTGATGAAGGCGGAAGGATTTCAGGGGAAAATAGGAACTGTGTTTGAACCGAAAATGTCTTTATATAAGATTTCATCCATGCGGACTTTTTTGGATCTGCAACAAGAGATTTTGACAGTTAGAGGTTATCATAAAAAGGATGCAACTCCAGATGACTAAAGTGTTAAAAAATAAATTGAAAACTACATTTCCAGACAACAGACTCACTTTCAGAGGAGGAGTCCGACAGGAAACAATACAAACTGACGGCAACTTCCTTAAATATCAAACATCCTGCAAAAACTTTGCTTTGTCATCTGCTAAAACAAGTTAAAGGGCAGTAAATTCATATTTTGCTGAACGCCCATGATGCATGAAAAAAATTTAGTTCCTTAATCAAACACAATAATAATTCAGACCAGTGTAGATTCTGTCTCGGGTTGCGTTCAACAGGAATTTTGACCTAAGTTGGTTCCCCTCTGCTTAACGCGGTCCATTTGGACTGCATTTTGCAAATTGGAACTATAAATTCTGACTCACCTGAAAAAACACTTGTGTGCATAGGGAAACTAATGGCACATACGTTGTTTTTAAATCGGGCCAGAATTTATAGTTCCAAACTGCAAAATGCAGTCCATTTATACTTAGAAGTGATGAAGGTTTGTTTCATAAATCTTTTATACCTCTATTATCAAGAGAAAAGCTCACCTTGAAAAAATACTTATAAAAGCCAAGATTATAATTAAAACTATTTTAATAGGTACTTCGATTGTATCTCGCAAAAAGGAACCAAGAGCATTCCAATGTCGCCATGTGCAACTTTTTTTACCTTGCAAACATAAACGATCATCTAAACTAGTTTCACCTCTACTCCCAATGAACTATGAATCCAAGACGAAAATTACCGTAGTAAAGTTTACTTTTTGCAACGAATGTACCTAAGTTGCACAATCCCAGAAACACTGAAATGCTCTTAGTTCATTTTTGCAAAATGCAATCCAATTGGTTGTTGCTGCAAAAAAATAGTTTCCCACAACCTGCTATACAATGCTCCAGTGACCACATAAGTTGGCCCCAGCACAAGCTTTTCGGGAATAAAGCCTTTCCCCTTCCAGGTTCTTCACTTAATATCCGCCCGAGTTTCGCATATCATCCGTTTTTCCTCATCGCAACTTCCATCAAATCGCAATTGCCCGGAAACTAGGACCGCACATCTTATCTGATAAAATCGTTCGCCCTTTAGACCGATTCTGGGGGATTAGGCTAGACTAGTCGATGAGTCAACTGTTAGTCTAATTTCATTACGTGAATGCAGAAGAAAAACGGGGTAAAAGAAAACACTAGTGCGTGATCAATTTTCAAGGACAATCTTTTAATTTCTCCTACGATTTTAAATAGATTAAAACGCGTAATATCCAAAATCTAAGCTCAGATTCGGATTCCTCGTGAAAAATTGATGAGATTTCATGTATTATATGTTAGAATGGCGTGAAGGAAAGAGGTTCAATGACGTAAAAAAAAAAACCACTAATGTGTGATCAATTTTCAAGGACAATTCTGTAAATTCTCTTACGATTTTAAATAGAATAAAACGCGTAATATCCAAAATCTAAGCTCAGAATCAGATTCCTCGTGAAAAATTGATGAGATTTCATGTATCATATGTTAGAATAGCGTGAAGGAAAGATGTTCAATGACGTAAAAAAAACACTAATGTGTGATCAATTTTCAAGGACAATTCTGTAAATTCTCTTACGATTTTAAATAGAATAAAACGCGTAATATTCAAATTCTAAGCTCAGATTCGGATTCCTCGTGAAAAATTGATGAGATTTCATGTATCATATGTTAGAATAGCGTGAAGGAAAAAGGTTTAACGACGCGTATGGATTCTGTCGTACCACCTCTTTGAACTACGCCGTCGCCTGTCGCCCGAGTGAACCGAACGGGGAGGCGCCATTTAGCGCCGGCTAAGCGTTCGGTTTCGTCGCGAGGAATTTCTCACGATAAATTCTTATTCTTCCTCCTCCGCTGACCCACTGAGCACTACCCATGTTGCCACGTTGCATTCATATGCTCGAATCGGTATGCCTACGTTACGTCTCTTTCCTTCACGCTATGCTCGGGTTTGATACATGAAATTGCATCGATTTTTTACGAGGAATCCGAATCTGAGCTTCGATTTTGGGTATCACGCGTTTTAAGTCAGATGTTCCAAATTCGAAAATCCGAAATGACGGACGTGGCTTAAAATGCTATCTCGGCTCCTGTTCGATGGATTTTTCTGAAATTCGGTGTCAGGGTATGATACATGAAATCGCATCGATTTTTTACGAGGAATCCGAATCTGAGCTTCGATTTTGGGTATCACGCGTATTAAATCAAAATCTGTCAAAATTCAAAAAATTCAAAATTCGAAAATCCGAAATGACTGAAGTGGCTTAAAATGCTATCTCGGCTCCTGTTCGATGGAATTTCCTGAGATTAGGCGTCAGGAGGTATATTTCGACGGGTAACTCGAATGTTTAGTCAATTTTTTAAAATTCTCAACTCCAAGATGTTGGATGTGGCCTAAATTGAGCCCCGGTTCTGGTCTCGATTTCTGTTCGTTAGAGCTTTGTAAACTGCGGGATTAGGGGTACTTTTCAACGGGAAACTCGAATTTTTAGTCAGTTTTTAAAAATTCTCAAATTCAAGATGGCGGACGGGGCCTAAAATGCTATGTCGGCTCTTGTTCGATAGATTTTTCTGAATCTCGGTGTCTGAGGGTATATTTCGACCGGAAACTCGAATTTATAGTCAATTTTTAAAAATTCTCAAATCCAAGATGGCGGAAGTGGCCTTATATGCTATCTCGACTCCTATTGGTTTTTGGGAAACATAGTATTAGGGTAACTCATTTCAATCAAATCTTCAAAATTTGAAAACATGATGGCACAAACCAAAGCATTGTATGGCGGGTTATGAAAAACTATTTTTCCCAGGAACAAGTAACCCGCTTCTTCAAAAATAGCAACTTCACACTCATAAGTATAGTGAAGAAATTTTAACCCGGGATATTTTTTAACTGACAGTAGGTATTCCATGTAAACTTTTGATGAGCCGCCGGAAAATTATATTCTATTTGTGTTGAATATAAAAATGTAAACATTCTAAAATGAAAAGCCAAAACAGAAAGTGCTGATTGTAAAGCTTGGTATTCCAACAGAATTTTTCTCTTCTTGAGTAAACACATGGTTCCTACCATCTAGCGCACTCGCGAATGAAAGTAATGGCCTCAATTAGGTTTGGTTCAAAAAAGCAACTAATCTAACTGCCTAGCAAAGCGGAGAGTATCACCCAAATTTGAAGGCGCTCTAAAGCCGAGTTCGCTCTTTAAAGTTTTTTACCAATGATATCTGATTGCCTGTAACAGCTTTTCTATAGTCGTGAAGAAAGACATTGCAATTCTGATATTCTTATGTTTTCATTTTAAATGCTTTATTTGTGAGTGAGATGAAGAGTTTTGATAAGAATGCCACTGAAAAATAGCCTTATTTTTTAAGCAACTATAAGTGTTCAATGAGGAGAACGACCGGTCAGTCAAACGTTAGTCGTTGATAGAGGTTTTTCTTATTTTTCAGCTCTCTTCTTTTGAATTTTCTTGCCTTCAGTGCCAAATTTATTTTTATAAAATTACCTTTCTCTGTTTTACAGAACATTATAAGCCGTTTGGACCAAGCTGAGCGAAAACAACCGAATCCAGAAGCCAACAATGTAGATGAAACTGAGGATTTTTCATCGAATGTATTCTTAACAAAAGGGCCACCGGATAAACTAGATGCTTCTCCACAGAAGCTCAGATTCCTGACAATATTTGATCTAACTACTTTAGCAAAACGTAATGGTAAGTTGGAGTTTCACTCACATCTTAAACATTAATAATGCAGATACCACCAATGGAATCACAACATAAGGCCCTGTTGAGTCCAAAACCAACGGATTTAGCTAAGCAAATACCATTATTACCTGTCACTTTTCTTTAAACATTCAAAATTTAGCGTTACGTTTTTAGGTAGGTAGATAGTATTATCAAACCCATCAATTGTAATTTATTGCAACATAATTGCTCCTTTTTGAATGCCAATTTTGAGGGTGTTAGGTCGGGCTGAATTCTGAAAAATCTACCGATCAAATCTCAACTACGTAATTACGAGGGTCATCCAAAAAGTAAGGTTCCCTACCTTGTATCTTCCGAACGAAAAGAGATAAATCAAATCGGTGAGAAGATATATACTGATATACTCTAAGCTTTAAAACGAGCCCCTGACCTCTTTACTAAAATACATTAGTTTTAAATACAAAATTACAATAGGGACTTGCAATTTTTCTGAATTCCAGTTTTTTATTTGTTGCTCCTAAAATTTTAAAAAAGCTTCTTTAAGTTTTACACATACGTAGTGACAATGATGTTTCATAACTTTACCTGCTAACAGCTGAGAGGAAAACTTCTTCACGATAGAAGAAATCAGGCAAACCAAATTTGAAACCATAGCTGTGCGCCAAGAGGCAAAATTCTTTGGATCCCATCGAATTTTCTCGAGAAGTTGGGCCAGTTGAATAACCACAGCATTAATTTCAATTTCAAGTGATTCATCTGAAGATTCAACCAAGGCTTTCTACATGGATGAAAGAAAAATCATAGGGAGTAAGTATACACAATTAGGAACTATTCACAATTAGGTTGGGATATTTCACCAAAAATTTCTAATTAAAGTTTCTTCGTTCACAACTTCACACGCTTAAAAAGCCTGAGTTTTCCAAGCGCATTGCATGGCATTAGAAGAAATTGTGTAAGAAATTCAATGACTATAAAATTCAGTAACTAATGGAAAAGGTTTAAGAAAGGTGTGGGTACTGTAGGTACCTATACCAAGGTTGGCTGCACTTGACCATTAAAAAAGGACAGAACTTTACTCAGATTAAAATACACAGAAATTGGGATAAAGATATCTTTGGGACAAAGATGAATGGTGCTAGATATCATTGATGAACTAATGACTTAGGGCACTTGAATTGAAAAAGAGAAAAAACACAATTTTCTTGCGCTGCACTTTAACAGAGTTGATCATTAAAGAATTATTGAGTCCCTGACTATAGAGATCAACTTTGATGACTAAGCTGATCAATCCAATTTGCAAATCTCCCAAGAGGATATCATCAAACGACTAGACCTTATCTTTATCAAAAATATTTAAATTGATGTAAAATATTTATAACCCAATAAAACAAAACAAGAATAAAAAAAATAAGTGTAGATTTGATGATAATGATACAAATGATTTTTTTATTTTTTCTAAAAATGCTTCAAAATTTCATAATCTATTGATCACTGTCAAAAATTAGTCTGAGTTTTCTTTGATGAAGTAGATGATCCTTTGAAAAAATGCAACATCACATCTGCATGAGCAGTGAATGTGTTTTTAATTAAAAACTGAAAAAAAATACTTACGAAAAGCATTTGAAGAAGAAAATTCACAGTTGCATTAGATGTGTTTGGGCTGAGGTAGATATTGTTTAGAACCACTTCGACATAAAATGTATTCCTCTCTATCACAGATTCATCAATCAAGTAATTGACCTGCATCCATCAAGTTTCAAGATGAATTAGTGCTCATAAAATTTGGAATCAAGATATTATTTTCAATGCGTAAATATTGAACTTTTTTTTTTTTTAATGAAGGTCATTATTTCCAATTTGTTTATTAAATAATGATAGGTATATCGACGGTGAAATTACCAGACCACGTATCTTGTTTGCTGTGTTTAAGAATCTCCGCTTCCATTTTATATTTTTGAAGGAGAAAAAAATCAATATTATTCCTTGAAGTTTACACAGAATTTTCTTCTTAAAAAAGAAAAAATCACGGAAGTTTTCAAGGATGACGTTCAGTAGTTTTTCATTTAAAAAATAAAATATGACAGGAAGTCTGTAACGTTGCAAACTAAGATACATGATATGGTAGTTTCATCGTCAATACCTACATGCAGTTAAACAATTTTCAAATTGATGTAGTTATGCCCAAAATGTTTTCCACAATACAAACAAACGTTAAATCATGAAAATTTGCATTGCACAAAGCTGCTCATAGAGAGAACTTCATTCCAGCTGAACGCGATTGTAGTGACAATCCCAATTAAATACTGCCAACCAGTTCATATTAGTTCAAAGTGTGTACCCTCTTGATGAATACTTTTCTACCAGCAGGCAAATTATTAACATTATGTCAGCGCTAAAAAACATGTATGGAACTAAAAGGGCTTTGTCTTAGCTTGCCAATATGGTTACAGTAATCGGCTTGCAGTAGATGTATTTGTTTTATTCCATTCATTGCAAATACTATGTACCTATAAAAATCTACTAGGAGGAGAGGAGGGGATGAATAATTCGATTCATTTCTTACCAGGTCCAAAAGATTACTCCGTTTTGCCGCATTTTGTTTTGTGTCTTCATCAAAGATCAAAATATGCAGCAGGTCCAGTAAGAGATCTTTGTGGGACTGTTCTAGAGTCGACTTTACTTTCTCTGAATCCTCAGAAATCTTTGATATAATTTTCAACTTATTTTCAAGACTAAGAGACTGGATACTCTGTAAAGATGGTCTCAAAGCTTTCAAAATTGGCACCATATCCTTGATGTAATTCATATTTTGAAGGGACTCCATTAGAATTTTTACAACAACATCGCCAATGGAGTAGAAGCTCAGGAATACAATGTCAGACAAAAACAGAGACTGCAAGGGAGAGAGAAATAAATGAGATATACAGAAAAAAAAAGAAAACACAAGAGGAAATATGAATATTAAGACAGTTTTGAGTTGGAAAACATCGATGCATGAGCCTGCGGTAAAACATTGCGCAACAATTGTAAGGCATTCAAATTAATTTAATTTAATATGATTCCATTCATCACATCATTATTTTCAGCATGTTCTGAGTTCTGTCGCCAAGAGATGTAGCTAAGATTAAGAGCTATATGGTTGTTGACCAAAATTGCGACATTGTAATAAGATTATGTCCATTAAAATTTTGAGATCATGAACATTTTTAGTGTATTTTCCGAAGGACAAATACACTATTTTTTCTTCTTTTTTTTATTTCATCTCAGAAGTCTAACCTTACCAGAAAAACCAGAGAGAGTAATTAAAAAAATAAAGCAAAGTGATTATTTCCATCAGATTAAAAATGTTACAAGTTAAAAATGTTATGTAGGCTTGAATGTTAATTTTCAGACTTACCTCATTGGAGGACAAATCACTGGAGACGAACTTATTGAAAACTTCTACCAACTTTTCATCAAAATTAATCGACTGTTTGTTGTAAGGTTGGCTATCGCCGTAAGCCACGAGATACTCTTCTAGTAAAGAAACTTGTTCATCAACCTGCAAGTTCCTCACAGACTCAAATATAGTTTTCTGTAATTGACTGAATGATTCCTCCATATTCTGACTGGATTTTGGATTGTAAGTGTGGATCAAGAGTTTGATATCTTCATACTTTATATTGGCAGCAGCTTTATTCAAAACCTTCATAATTTCTACAGGCTCTAGATGAGCTTCCTCTCTTTTCAGAATCGTTTGTAGAACTCGTGAACTGTCTTCACGGGAATTCGTTTTGACAGTCTCATCAAATTTAAGCAAGAGTTGTTTAAAATTCATTTCTTTCATTTCTTCAGCGAGAGAGAGTGGTTTTATCTCCAGGTGGCTCAAACAGTAAGTTAGATCTTTGAGAGAATTTTTCAAATTCTTACTTGAAAGCTTGGAATCCAAGGCAGCTGTTAAGGCTTCACGGCAAATATAGATTTTCTCACCGACAAGTCGCTGAAGCGTCTTTGTTTCAGTGATGTCTACTTCACACCAGTCCAAAAATACAATTGAACTAATTTTTTCCTGCAAGAATGTTTTACTGATTGCAACAATCACCTCATAGCACTCTGATATTTCATTCTCATCTTCTTCTGCAGCTTTAGAAGAAACTTTAAAGCTTGAGAAACCATATAAATTATTCAGAGATTCAGGTAAGCTGTCTTCTGCAGAAGTCTTTTCGAAGCTGAATTTTGTGCATTCTAACAGGAGAGAAATCAAATTGAGAACTAAAAACCCGTAGTACTTATGCTGCTCAACACTTGACCAAGACACTAATTTCTGAGCAGTTAGCTGACTTGGTTTTTTGAATATTAGTAAAATTTCTTGAAATTGTTTTATCAGCTTGGCATTACAAGACTGAAGGGAGATTTTGTAACTAAGTTTCTTGTAGGCACTTGTTAAAATAACTCGAAGTGCACTAAGTTCATCGTAAGGATCCGATATGTGCTTCACAAAGTCAGTAAATACTGCCAACAAGGCTTCGCTCAGTTTGTTAGGAGCATGTAAAATTGATTCGGCCATTAATGGAAACAGTTCTAACCGGTGTACAACAATGAAGTAAGTAAACGCACTCAGTTTTGGGCATCTTCCAATCAAATGGCACCAGTCTCTATCTTCTTCCAGAATGTTTGAAACTGGTAATTCCGTATTGACAAGGAGAAAAAGATGAAATCTACGTTTATCTTCTTCATCACTGTTTGCCATCAATTTGATTTTGCTCAGAGATTCAACTAACAGATTGATTTGATTTTTTGTTCCTGAAACAGAATGAATCACATCTACTTAGTGATATCTTGAATGGCTACAAACTCTACTTATTAGCATACATTAAATCCTACTAATACCTGCAGTAAAAGCTCACTTCAGCTGGCTATTCCTGGAAGAAATCTCATGGAAACTTTTACTTTAAGTAAAGCTGAAAGTACCAAAAAAGCACAGAGCTCTATTGGAATGTGAAAAATGACAAAATACTTCAATAGATGAGTCAAGGCAAATAATGAAAATTCGCGTTTTGATACTTTCAGCTTAAGGTAAATCTAAAAAAATTTTTGTAAGGTATAGCTGCTTGGAGGGTGCTTATGGACTCGAGTAGGTACTTAGGTAATGGTTTTGCTTTATACAGGTGAAAAAAGTATTTTGGCAACTTTATGTCAGTTTGCTTGTGGTGTAGATTCATCTTAAACTGGCAGCCGTGAGTCTATTATTTGAAGAAAATTGAAAAAACTGACAAGTTAGGAAGAACATCCAGGCATTTCTAAAACTAAAGCCCGAAAGAAGGACGGACTTTTCACCTGGAGGGAATTGATGGTGCATTACTGATATAAGAGCCAGTGGGTCCACCGCTGACTAACTAAGTGTTTACCATCAGACTATCATCAGAGTAAGTAATTGAGAAGAAACAGACTTCGGTCAAAAGATGCATTTCGTGTTCATGGATGTTCATGAAGCATATGAAAGAGTACTATTATAGAAAGTTTCAGAAACCTATGGAAAATGGTTTGAGGTAAGGAATAGTGAGGACCATTTGTAAGTTAATTAAAAGTTTCATATTATACCTTCAGAAGTGGAAAATACGAATGATTTCAACTTCACTCCCATTTTCACTTCGGACTGCTCCAGAGCAGCTTTCACTTCTAGGAGCCGGCTATCAAATTCCATTGCAACAAGGTGTTATCTCTCCTGTAAAAGAGCATGATCACTTGAATGAATATTTTCAAAATAAAGATGTAGAAAAGGTTGTGATGCTAGTATTGGATAGTAAATGGACACTTATCAATAGATACTTTCCCAAGTAATGCTTCCAAGGTAGGCAAAGGACAAAAGACCTTCAACCTTTTTAACTCATTGTTAATTTGCTTGATACATTACTTATATTGTTCTGTATATTTTTCTTCTTAATTCAACTCTTGTTATCATTTGTTGCTCTCCTGAGGTGTAGTGGATGTAGCGCTGGTTCTGAGATCAAAAGGTTCTGGTTGTGATTCTCGACCAGGCAACTCGAATATTAGTCTCAAAGAAGTGTTGCCTCAGGCTGATTTTAGATTAGGAACTGAGGAGAATGGCGCATTCCTTGGAAGTACGGGATTATCTCCTGGGGATACTTGGATCAATTTGAAATAGACAATACCCTGATGATTTAACCTGGTAAGTGAATGTTGAAGTAATGTACTCTGAACTAACTTGCTTCGATTGTTGTCGAACTGCACAATTGTAGAAGGACCAATACTTCAAAAATACCTCCTTCGCACGGACTTAGATTCCGATTGCAAAATCTTCAGAACTTTATAGTTGGACGTCAGGAAAAATTGAATTCTCACGTGGTCATTTCAATTCACAAATGTCAAATTCGAAAACATAACCTGTGTCCAGGTCCAACGTTGGCATGATGGATTTCATCATCCATCGAGAGCAAATTTTAATTGCCAAATGTCAATTTAATTAATTTTAATTCTTCGTAAGGTAACATTACTAAATGTTAATTTTTTGAGAATCTGGCATTTTTCATTATTATCAATGTCAATAAAAACAACACCTAAATATCACAATGGCGATGATTTTCGTGTAAACAATGTGTAATCCGTTGTAATTTCAAGAATAGGTAGCGTATCAAGTGAAGTGAACTTACGAAGTATTACTTCCGCTCCGTTTCTGTTCACTCAACATCTAATTTCTTAATTATTTTCAACAGTTAACTTGCAGATCAAGAGTCGCACATCATGGGTTGCGATGGAGGTACGATACCAAAAAGGGACGAATTGGTGAAAACTAAAAAGAAACCTGAGCAGGTAAATTTATTTCTGACATCTAAATCTATTAGCAAGGATATTGATTTTTTCACTGCCTGATTTAATTTCTTAATGCTGCTCATTTGGCAAAGGAACAACCATCCATTGCCGAAACACAGTTTCAAGTTCCATATGTGTGGATGAAATAAATTTTAACCACAGTTGTTCCTTCTTCCAATCTTTTGGATGTCACATCTATTGGACATCTCCATCAAAATTAATTTTTGAAAGTGCTAACGACTGATCTAGGTGGAGAACTAGGAAATAACGCGCACTATCTATTGTCCTATTTTAGGTGCGTCGTTGAAGCAGGTAAACCGTTAAGGACCATTTGGCTATGTAATTATTCAATGCTGAAAGGTTCGCTTAGTTAGACTCATTCGAATTATCCGATGACTTGTGTGTTTACGTCTAGAATCGTACGACACAATACGTTGGATATGATACATTCGGATCCAATGCTTAATTATCTTGGGAGGTTGATAGGGACCGTTCGGTTATGTTCTGTAAATTGAAGTACCAAACAGAATGGAACAAGTTAACTTTGAAAACAAACCTCTTGTGCATGTACAAGATGCATTAACTAAGAAACCTCGCTCAATACCGTTTATTTAGTGTTTTTTTTCCCCACTCATAAATTAATGAGCCCAATAATTTATAATATCAAGCGATTGATAAGAATGTTGGGTTTCCATAGGTAAACACACTTTAAGGGAAAATTGAGTTTGAGTTCAAGGAAGCAAATTGGTGAGCAGTGTATTTAATTCAGTTTCAAAGTAGTGTCAAACAATTTACACTAACAACAGACCCACATTCTGAATTTCACAATTAAGTTCAAATAATTTCTACTTTTCATGGCACTCTGCCTGATTTTCAATTTTACCTATAAAAAATTCAGGATTTGTACCTACTAATGTTATTTTGGTCGTACTTGCCTTTACAGAAAGACAAAGCATCTGAACTATCATTCCGTTGGTGTCATTGTAGTATAACGCAACAACCTCTACAAAAACCAATTGTGGCTTGTGGCCTTGGAAGATTATACAGCAAAATATCCATTCTTGAAGCTCTGCTGGACCGAACTTTACTACCAGATACAGCTCGCCATGTGAAAAGTATTAAAGTGAGTCAAATTCAATGACATCTCTACAAATCAAATTACGCATTGAAGGATGCAAGAAAATAATTTCTTGTTACCTCAGGAGTAATATACATGCCTTGCCTGTTTATTCAATCATTGTTAAGTCTATCATTTAAGCACATCAATGCACAAAACATTTTTGGATGTACTCTCTGAAATATAGTAATAAAGCACTAAACCAATTCATTTAGATTTAAGTAGTGTTGCTTTAAGTAGGGTTTTTTTCTCCTCAAGTTTCTTTACAGTTTATCCAATGTGAAATGTGTGTTTCAAAGTTTTTGGACAGCATTTACAGTCTTCTCACTGAGGAGCAACTACTGATGAAGGTGTCCAGAAGGTCATCAAAACATAACGTCGGTAAAAATTCCAAACGAAGTTTGACATTTTGCGACTATGCAGACTCCTGTCATAATTCATTTTTTAAATGGAAAACTACTGAACATCAACTCTTAAGAACTTCTGTGATTTTCTGGGTTGGTGATTTTGAAACACTGTAAAGGATATGCAAGGAGTTCTACCATCTTCATGTTGGGAAATAAATTAAAGAAGAAAAATGCAACTTCATGGCCTAAAATATTTTAGAGATTCAAACGCAAGGCATCTGATGATTACTTCTTATTCTTAATTTCTTATACCTAGTTGCTTTGGAATACTATCTCAATTTAAACCTTAATTAATAGAAAGTTGTCAGAATCCCGATTTTAAATTTTAATTCCACCTCTTTTGTTTTATAAGGAAAGTAGTCATTCCAAAAGACTCAAAAGGAGCCTATGTAAGAATTTCATCAGAAATTTCAATTTGGGTAGTGTACCAATTACTCCTGTGAGAAAGCAAGAGCATGTAGAAAATTAATTTATCTGATAATGTGTATAATAATTGGACTTGTGAGATAATCTTTACTTAACTCTCATTTTCAGGATGTAAAAGAATTGAAGTTGACACCAAACCCCTCATTCTCTGCAAAAGCTGAAAAAGGTGATGGCTACGTTGACCGACAGTGCTCTGAATATATTTGCCCTACAATTGGCTTAGAGATGAATGGAAAATTTAAGTTTTGTTTCCTCTGGACATGTGGCTGTGTCATGTCAGAAAGAGCCCTTAAACAGATCAAAGACAAAAATTGTTTACAAGTAAGTTGTGAAAATGCCCTTTTAATTCTATAGTGACCTTTAAAATTCTTTCTTTCTGTGTTGTTTTCGAACGAAAGTTCTAAAAAAATTTGGGGAATCTTCGCGGACCATTGGCAAGAACTGCTGAAACAAAATCTTCAAAAGCTGAGCTGATCACCGATTGATCCAATAAAGTAGAAAAATTCGTAAAGCTTTAATTTTGACTTTAAATTAAATCATAATATGCAATATTCATGCTCTGTAAAGTCATATTCTTTGCGGATTGCACTATCTTGTATTAGTATTTATGGGTCATGCAATAAAGTTATAGTTATTTATTTGTATTAGATACATTCAGCAACTTAGGCTAAATCAGTGTCCTCACAGAAAATAAGAAGGGTGAGTAATTTTGAAAGGAAAAAATGATAAATATGTATTTCCATAGCTTTCAAAATAATGACTCTAGCATGCTCAGATAAAATCCTTCTGAAAAATTGTCAATGAGACTGAAAAAAAAAAAAAAAAATATCACAGCAAAATTGATCAAGATCCATGTTGTTAATCACTGTGTATCATATCCGTTTTTAAAATTATGAAATAACTATAAAGTCATGTGCTGAACAGAGACTTGAGACATTCTTTTTTAGGGTTTGAACTCGTTTAATTTTTAAGCATACTAATGTCAGTGTTTTGCTCTTTTCAGTGCCAAAAACCATTCACGGCAGATGATGTTGTAATCCTGAATGCATCTGATGAAGATCTCACACGCATGAGTGATAGGTTGGAAACTCGTCAAGCTCGTTTAAAAGCAGAGAAAAAGGGCAAGAAACTCAAACTTAAAGAAGGGATGGGGGATGCAAGCACCAGTCAAAATGGAAAGAAACCAGTAGCAACAACCAGTCACCCTAATGACCCAAAGGATGCTAAACCAGATCAAGGTAGTGACAGATCCTTGTTACATTGGGGTACAGCTTACCATCGATCATGAATTGGACTACATTTTGCAATTTGGAACTATAAATTCTAGCCCGGTTCAAAAACGACGTTTGTGCCATTAGTTTCCCTATGCACATAAGTGTTTTTCCAGAAGAGCCAGAATTTATAGTTCCAAATTGCAAAATGCAGTCCAATTTTAAAAACGTCAGTGGATCCCTTCTATGTGTTCCAAATCATATAAAAACCAACAATGTAGAATATTGTTACACTTAGGCAATGTCTGAAAGTCTGAGGTGCCTCAAATTCCTGACAGGTTTTGCTTCGATAAGCTCTTTCTTTCTATAAACTGGATTGTTTGAAACAGTTACAGGCAATACAAAAATGTTTATTTTCAAATCCTACGACAGAAATAACTTTACTGTGTGAAACCGTCATATTCCTCAGAAAATTTTTCTATTCCTCCTTAATTTTGAGGCTGAGACAATCATATGAATTTGATGGTAGATGGACATATCAGATTGTTCGGCCAAGGAATCATAGGTATTCTAAAATGATATCCAAGGCATCTTTTGTTCCTCGATACTAAGATGACCTCGGTTTTTTTGGTACATATCATGGATCAGTTCCAGTATTATTAATTCAGACCAGTGGGTAGTCAACCATCATTCTCTATTGTTGAAAATTGAAAATTCTTAGAGACGTTATGTTTAAACAACTTTTATCCCCTAAATATGTCTAATTTGTTCTTTTTTATTGTAATATTAGTAGTCTTTGAATCAAAAGTGCCAACTAAGCATCCATTAAATTAACTCAGAATTTTTTAATTTGGACTTAGGCCAATGGTTGGATGTCCTATGATGTAGGACAGATAGGAATGAAATATCCCCACGGCCAGTAGCAGCAAATATCTCCAACCCCCCCCCCCTTCCTGGCTGCTTTTCTAACTGGTTTATTTTCTTTTTCAGCCAAAGTTGGGGAGAAGAGAGCCACTTCAATTAAAGAGCTAGTGGATCCTGCCTTCAAGAAAGCAAAATCTGAATACAGTGTTTCCAAAGATCCAAATGCCACAGATGTCTACAAATCATTGTTCACCACATCGTCCAAGGCGCAGAATCAAACCAAGGCTCATTGGATTACCTACAATCCTTTCTATAACTGATTTGTTAAGTTTTTGTATGTTTGGAGGCTGAAGATTTTCTCTTCCTTTCACTTTAAGTGAGACATTCATGATTTTTTTACCTAAAAAATCAACCCCATCATCTTCATTCTCAAATGTATACCATGAGATTTTATAATTGTATCAAGAGCACCACTAATAGTGTTAAATTTAATATCAATAACAGAAAGAGATCCTGTCTTCTGTTAGAGAGACATTCACAAAAGAAGTTGAAAGGTAAGGAGTCATCGTTCATCATAGGTCAGGTAAATAGCTTCGAGAAACCAAGTGAACCAGAAATAGTTTCCCATAATTTCTGTGTTCAAGAAAATATGAATGATCTAAAATCTCTGAAAATAATTCCAAATGAAGTGTCACTTTATCATGGACATTCATTATGAGAATGGAGACTTTGAAGAAGTCTGCTTGTAATGTAAGTGTTGACAAAAAAGACTAAAAACTATATGTAGTATGGGACAAGGATGCTTCGGCACTAAATTGCGTCTTTTAAAAAGTGTAAAAGGTTTGAGACAAACCTCTACGCTTCTTGTCCCTGTCTTTACAGCGCTGTTTTTAATGTTGTATTTTCATTGTTGCCATCATCACTTTGCCTCTTCCAAAAAATGAGCAAGTATTGAAGCTGCATAATAAATTATCATCCCTATTCATTTTGGACTAAACTTTCCTTCCAAATGCTGTGATTTAAGAAATATTTGAAAATCCCCAAGTACGTACTGTTAACAGTTCAGTTCCTTTAAAATGTTAAAATGGTGCAGGTATGCATTTTACCTGTAAAATAGGTAATTATTCATTCTGGTCCAAAAAAATCTTCTTGGTAAAATTCAAATGAAAGACCAGGATGTTTTTTTTTCTTTCTTTCTTTTTTTTATTGTGAGTAATCTGATCAGTCATGTCTTTTAGCTCACTGCAGTATGCAAGGCCCATTAGAAATTGTTCACTTTAGGGCCTGCATGATTAGTGAATTATTGAGAGAGAAGACCAACTTCTCAAATTTCACGAAGCACATGTGTTTTGTACATACCTGATTGTTTTTTTCTTCCTGTATGTTTTAAAATAAAGGAACATGTAATATCTAAATTTCTGCAAGTTCTTTACACCATATTATCTTTAAAATAAAGAAAGAAGAATGACAAAACATTTTTGTTCTCACTTGCGTTTATCATCAAATTTAAGGCAAAGCGCGACAAAATATACTTTTTCTCTCTGCCTCTACCAAGCAGGAATTCTTTTAGTAGCATTTCTATTTTAGTTGTAACCAAGGACAAATGAGATAAAAGTGGTTGAATCTAAAAAAAATGGCATTTTTCAAAAAGCTTATTCCGTCACCCCCACCTACCCTTTACATTCTGCATGAAAAGCAGTTCTTACAACTTGAAACTGGTGACCCATTTGAAATAAAGAAGGCAGGGCAAAAAGAGAGGCTAATAAGTTTCTTGGATTGCAGTCATTATACTTTTCTGCATTAACAGACTTTATTTCACACGATTTAACAAGAGCACAATATCCATAAAATTATTGGAGGATTTAACAGCCAGAAGAAATCTTAAAACAAAACAAAGTTTGAAATTATCAAGGTCAAACCTGGGCCAACTCATCGAAGGAGGCAAATAAGGCTCAGCCTGAGTTGTTCGTGGAGAGAAGAGAATTGCGATAAATAAATTGATGGTAATGATAGAATGAAACTAAAATTTAATAATGACATCAATAAAGAAACAGAACAAAAACGGTGGGAGTGCATGGTAGCAACCTAGGCATGTAACAGGATATAACCAAGAGTTGGCCCCGAAATTGAAGACTTAATTTTTACGATGTTCTATCAAGCCTGACCTTTGTGATATTTAAATTCTTACGCTCATTGCTTACACTTTGTTTGATTTTTTCATTGTTTAAAATTAGGGCTGATAACTGTTTTTTAAGGGAAGATAGTAATCATGAAGTTAAGAACCACTTCTAAAGAAAAAATTGAAACGAGAAATGACATGGAGGTGATATCACAATTGAGAAACTACAGTACTTTGAACCAAAAGAGCAATCACTACTACCATTGTTTTGATAAAGCAAAAAGTTTAAACAGAATTCAAAGCAAGTTTACTTGAAATAGTAAGTAAGGGCCGAAAATTGTCAGCGCTTTTCCACGGAATGTAACATTCATTTATGAGTCCAAACCGCACCTCCGACTAATTACCATAAGGATAGCAGGGACAGACTTAAGTATAGTCATAACTCATCCTAGGTATATTTAAGTATCGGGAGAGGGACTGTTAAAATTTGCCCCTAGGTTACCTAAATAACATTCATGAACATTTCAAAAATGATGTACACAAAGGAGTAGTCTCTCTGTTACATACGTATTAGTTAGGAAAACTTTGATGCACATTTTTTTTAAAAACTGGATGAAAATAGACTAATGTTTTGGACCTAACCCCTTACATAAGAACTTTTTTGAGAGGAAAATACTTAGATATCATCGCTTCTTTGACAAAAAGGCGTAACTCCATTCTGGGATAAGCTTTTTTGTCTAAATAATTCTGCGCTTTCTATAGCTTATGCAAAACTTGAGTTACAATCCTACATCACAGGAGCTACGATACTCATACTAGATATCAAGAAGTTAGGTTGTTGAGATAGCTCTTTTGTCCCAGAGTGCCTCTACAATCTTTTTTTGGATTTCAATGGCCTCTGCGTCAAACATTAAACAATAATTAAGAATACAGAAAATGTATTAATAAATAATTCAATAAATTAAATTCAAACTTAACATTTCTTGAAAATAAATTTAGCCAAAAATAAGGAGACGATTAAAACAGTTCTGAATTGGGGCTCCAGTAATGGGGAGATTCTTTAAAAGAAAACAAATGTTTCAGTAAAAAAATTTGGACAAGATTAAGATTTAGTGGCGAAAAATAGCCAAGTTCAGTTGGATTTGCATGATTTTTTGCTTTATTTTTCTCACTCAAGAGATAGTATCTAGGCTTCTCTTGTAGGCAGAATTGGATTCAGGGATTTGTTGAGTAAATGATTCACAATGATACATTTTTAAAGCAAAGAACAAGATCTGCTTCAACTGCAAGTATTTAAGAGACAAAACAAATGTACATCAGACTTTCATTTAAGATGGGTAAAATAAAAATAGCATTATTCTTGAAAGAAACATGTTACCTAGTATATTGCTGTAAAGCCAATTATGTGGCATGTTTTTGCTACCATAACATGTACCTACAAATGAGAAGAAACTGGCTTTCAGAAATATCATGTTGAGGAGAACTGAGCAGTTCAACAAGTCAATCTGAAAAATATTTGAGAATTTTACCTTAGAAAACCTGAAATTAAGATAAGATTCAAGAGACAATTCAAATAGTTTGTGCATTAGGAATTTGGTACTTCACATCACTCTGAACACCTTTCATTAGTTAGCATACCTCATTCTTCAGGATCAATATTAAAACATTTTAATATGTAATTTTCCCAAACAAATCTATGACACAAGTTGAAAACTTAGAAATCTGATTTGAAAAGAAAAGAGTCTACTCGAAGCTTAGTAATTTGCCCGATTTCCCTTTTTAAGTTCATACAGCTTAACAGCCAGCTGAGAAATGTCATAGTAAGAAATACCAGGTGAACATTGTTTTTCTTTTTTTTTTTTACAGATTATAGAGAGAAAACATGGAGGTAATTTTCCTTTGGTGATGTTTACAGACTGTTACTTTCCCTCTTTATAAGTTTAAGATTGAAACAATTAATGAGAAAAGTAACTAATTTAACTTTATCTGTGGTAAAAGGGAAATTTACTTAGTTCTCTATTCTCTCCTTAAAATGAAAAATTCTTTTCCGTTTTTAATGATGAATTCTCAGAGGCAGCATCATACATTTTAAGACCATAAGACAAAGAAAAAAAAGGGAAAAAAACTTAGAAAAAGGAACACAAAAATAAGGGTTAATTGAACCAAAACATGAGGAAAATAGTGTACATAAAAGAACAAACAATTTTAAATAAACTGTGCTCTTCCACACATTCGTTGATTTAAGAGAGGAGGGTATTGAAAGGTAAATGATCTTAGCTGATACCATTGATGGTCCGAGAGATCACAGTTTCATACATTTTCTCAGCAGGAAAATTTCACCTAGAAAAGAAATTAGGTGGAAAAACAATTAATTTCAAGCAATGCGTTGTAAACTTGAAAATAAAATAAAAAATCTGAAGAATTTAGAAGTTACGTGAAAAATAAACGAGGTTGTAACAGACTATGTCACCGCTGAACTCATCTTCAAAGGTAGGGTAGAGGCAAGAGAAACGAAGTCTACTGCATTAATTTTTTTATTTTTTTACCTTACATTATCTTTTGGAAATGTGACTGACTCTGTTTCTCCTGCTCCTGCCCTCCAAGCCAAAGGTGACAATGGAGAGATTTTGCACTTGGGCAAATAGAAAACATACAAAAAACAAAAAAGCTTACGAAAATCACAAAAAATACTTGGGAAAATAAGGCAGGTATGTAGAAATGTACAGTGAGTGCCTCTTCAAATAACCTAAAATTAAATTTACTTTTGTTGCATGCATTAAAAATGCTGCAACTAATCCTAAAAAATTGGACCTATAGTAAGAGAAAATAGGTGCAGAAAAATTTTAACATCTCGGCTGTTGGTTGGTGAAGTTTGGAGAACTTTTGCCTGGGTCGTAAAATATGTGTCACTAATTTTACCAAATATTTCAACCCCCTTTCACCTCATAATGCTTTAGGAATGTAGGTTCCTATCCTTTAACACATATTTACAAAATGGTGTGACGCTCTCTTTGACCTCCTCCCTGTGAAATGTTTGTTCCTCCCCGTAAGTTCCATATTTTATTGTACGGCACTTTTAAGCGGAAAAATGAACCAAAAAAAGCTTTTTGCAATTTTACTCTTATCTATATGAAAGACGTTACATAATGGGATATTCTTGTACTTGAAGGAATTTCAGAAAGTCATTGGATTGTCTAAGATGATTAGACAATTAATCAGATCTAGTAGTTAAAAATAAAATGAGCACTATGAAAGTGTATCCATTCGGGACTTGAATAAAATAAAATTAATGTTTACTCAAAAAGAAAAACTTACCACTAATGTATTGAGTCTAGGATTTCAATGTGTATAGTAGATTCGATAATAGAGTGTTTTTGATCTCCATAGACTATAAGAGTTGTCAAACTTTAATAGATAAACGCCTTGACCAGGATACTGGTGACTTCCAGTGTAGACCTCATCCTGGCAATCTCTGCGATAAACTGGTATAATGATGGACATTGGGGGTCGATTATTCAGTAGCCTGCTATTGTTTAACCGGTGAAGTCCCATTTCAGAGTCACCACGAGGTTCATCCATAAAATCTGTAAAAATTGGTTGAGAAAATTAGCAAAGAAAAAGTGGCTGAGATTGGCTTTTACATACATGTGTCCTATCTTCCTGTCCTAATTACAATTTCATTCATGAAAATTTTGACCCATGCATACACATTTTAATGTTTTTCAGTCATATCATATTTTTAGGGTGAGGAACTGTTTTGCTTTTGAGAATCTCGCTTGGAGAGAGTTTTGTGGGCAAAAAAAATTACAGCAATAAAATAAATGTACATCTTGATTAAAAATATGTGTGCAGCCATAAAGTAAATTTACTCTCGTCTTGTATAAAAATTTTCCCTGCGTATAATTTCTAGAGGCACAATTGTATGCTTCGCGGATGCCAGCAGATTCATTCTGATGAAATTAAATAAAATAAAATCAACATTCAGTGACAGATACTCTATCATAGAATTAATGGAAAACTAATTGCCTGCGCACAGTTTTAAGCACCATAAAAATAAGTTAAACTTTGAGAAACTGAAAAAGAATAACCTATAAAAGAAAAAAAATATAATTTGACTTACCATCATCCTCTTCTTCATCTTCTAAATCCTCGTCATCTTCACTTTCCGAGACATGTACAGACACCTGATTTGATTCTGATTTACCCCATTCAAAATACACACCAAAACCGATATCATAATTGTCTGTTGCAAATTCCCAAAATAGACACGACCCATCTTCATGAGTTGGAACTCTCACCTGAAAAAATTATTTGAAAATTAGAAAAATAATTATGATAAGTAAAGAAATATTTTTGTACTCCTATTGAATGAGTCAGAGGCGCCCATTTTTTTAGGATTCATTTTCTGAAAGCACGAAGTGAACTAAACTTCTAGGAATTCTTCAGATTCTTTAAACCCTTAATGGTAATAAAAATCCATTTAGAAAATGCCAAAAATGGGACCCATTGGAAATGATATTTTCGGACAGTTCTGATGACATAGCCAGGAAGGGGAAACTGCATTTTCTGATTAGCTGAACTTAACTTCAGACATTGCCTTGCTACATCAACTCAACCGTCAGCTTCTGATTGGTCAAATTCCAATGAGCTTATTCTTTTCTGAGAAATGCTTTATTAGACTTTTTTGTTTTTTCTTGTAATTTTAGGAAAGAGAAATTAGATTACAACTCTGCAAAAATTCCTTGCCACTGCTCCACTAGTTAAAAGCAAAATGAACCTAGAAAATTCAAAATTTTTATTGTGCCGAAGGTAAACTATAAAATGAAAAGCTTCTAATTACACACGTTTTTTAGTGAAACTGAAAAAATAATATCTTTTGACAGTTCTAAAAATCACATTGGATACATCTTCGAACAGCTGCATAAGATTAGAAGAAGTGCTTACAGTAACAGTTTCTCCGTGTCCAACTTTGATAATTGCATCACCGCCTTCCTTTCTGATCGACTCTTTGAACTCTTTGACATCTTTGCGAGTCCACATTGAAGCAGGTTGCATTGTAGGTATAGTTTCTGCAATGATAAAAATTATAAAAATACTTTTTGAAATAAAACAAAAAAAACCAACGAAAAGCTACTTTATTTGGCACTCCACTAGCAATGTTGTTTTCCACTCTATCTTTAATTATTCTCAAAGCACACTTGTAAGGAAATAAAGTTAATTCTGACAACATTTCAAAAACAAAACGCAACAGCAAAAAAATAATGTGACTTATAATTTTAAAACCATGGAAACAATTGTTGATACAGTGAAAATGAGTATTTTCACACTAGACTCCATGAATCAGGTTGCCTCGAAGATCTGATGATAATAGATAAACAAAAACACTGACTGCGTTTCATAACTGATTTTCTCATGAAAGAAAGAGGTGGGGAGAGATTATAGACCGAGTAAACACCCACTAAGATGTAATTATGCATTTAATCTTATCACTCATGGGCCTCTTTTCACTGCTGACTACCTAGGGTCCGTAGGGTAAATTATACTAACCAAGAGCAATATATGTTTGAACAGGGAAAATCTGACAGGCAATGCTTGGCGACAGAATCTTAGAAATTATTAGATATCCTGTTGCCTAAAGTTTCAAAATTTTCACCATGAAAGTCTGTCGAAGTTTATATCTTGACAACTTTGAAAAATTTGAGAAAATTAACAGAAATTGAAATAAAATTTTTTTGCCACATTTTGCAAGAAATAACTTGTTTGTGCATGTCAGCAGACTCTACCAAACTCATAAATTTGATGCCATTTAAAGTTTTTACAGTCCCACTATTATTACAAGGAAAATTTCACAGTAATTATACTTCCTGGTGTATTACTGAACAAAACTCATACTTATGCAGATCTTGAAATAAAGAAACTTGCCTCTAAGATGTGAAATTCAATGGTTTGAATTCTGTTCACAGCAAGACCGTTTAAGAAGAGGTATAAATTACTGCATAGTATTTTAACATGGTTAACATATAAAAAATGTATATTTGAACTGCGAAGTGAAAATATCTTGGATTATGCTTTACTGTTTGAAAAGAAAAGTAGCCAAAACATCTCCTTGAAATTTTCTATGTTTAGTCTCAAATGAATAAAGAAAAGTCGAAGAAAATTTTAAAAAAAAATTGTTGATTAGCGTTCTTTTCAAAGGATAAAATGTTATCCCCACTTTGCCAGGTTGTAATTTGAGGTACGCATTTTTTAACCGAAGCCATTAAAATGAAAGTATCATTGCTTTCTCGCTCTGATTCAAAAATTAAAATTGTTCCACACATGTTGTACATAATCAATCTAATAATGTAATGCAATTAATTGTCTAACAACAAGAGACTATGAACTTCATAATTGTTGGTCTTGTGGGTAATGTGTATTCTCTAATTTTTTTTTTTTTTTTTTTTTTTTTTTTTTTTTTTTTTTTGTCTCTTGATACCTTTGTGAATTTAATTCTTAGACGGATACAAAGCATGTAGTTCTGGTAGAAGTAACAATGTTTTAGAATTACCTAGAATTCTTACTAAAAAAAAAAAAAAAAAAATTCAGGTGTGATATTTTATTTTAAGACTAACCTGTATCCCCTTCAGACTGTGTTTCTGATGGCGATTCTTCTGTGCTGTTGCCAAGATTAGGAACTCCTAATGGGTTTGTCTCTACCCCCACTTTATTGTCATTGTGTAAAATTTTCTGCATATAAAGATGATAGTGTTGATCTTGAAGTTGCCTCACCAAGACCGCTTGCTGTTTCGAAAAGGTTCAAAATTAAAATACCGACAGAAATGTGAAAATTTGGTATCGACTACATGGCACCACAAAGGTGAGCAGTTGATAAAAGATATTAAATCAATAGTATGTATTTTTGAAAGCTGTACAGTTAATGCCAACAAAGAGATCCCTCTAGTTTCCATTTTTAAATTACAGGTTCATTAAGTTTCATCATGAAAGAGACAGCTACTTTATAAGTTTATAGATTTTTTTGTTGACAGCTTTTATTTTCCTGAAATAAGAATTTGCAGAGCAACCTTTTAATTATGTTTGCTTAATACTTCAAAAAATATGAGATTTTTTACAACCTTCAATAAGATGATCTTGAAAATAGTGATAATTTTCATGCTGTATGTTTTTACCTCTTTCCAAGTCTTTGAAGTGGTTGTAAGTTAAAATTTCAACTGAGAACTTCCAACTATTCTCTTTGAGAAAGCAGTGGTAATTATACATTTACTGTCTTATTGTTGTAAAATTTATGTTTGAATCTGTTTCTGTGAAAGAAATAAATTATCACTGAAAATTTAGGATAAAACTAAAACGTACTATTTCTAAAAAGATAGAGCTGTTATGAAATAAATAATATTTAATATGTATCTTTTTGGATCCTACTTAAATAGAATTAATCTCAATAGAAACAAAATTAGCTTACTTGTTCAGGATTGCCTGGATACTGCTGTTCAGCATAAGATTTAAACTGAGTAAAAGTTTGTTGATTCAATTCTTCTTGAATTAAACGTCTGAAAAATAAAATACAAAAATGAGGAAGGAAGAGGAAAAATTAAATTAAAGAAGAAATTGAACAATTCAAATGAATTCTGAACCGTGCTTATAAATAACACAGTGAGTACCATCATTTTAAGATAAATTCAATTTCCGTGAAGCAGAGTAACATTGACAGGATGACTGATGCAGCAGCTTCCAGACGAGGTGGCATTTTTCAGCTGGCGCTTATTACAATATAAAGAGTTTCTCAAGAACACAAAGAAGATACGTAATGCTGAAGTGACCCCACAGAAAGAATAAATAGAGGAGTTTTGAAAAATAATTTATTAAATCTCTGTCTGACAGAGCTCAAGGGCCAATTGAATCATAGATTTAAACCTAACTATTGACAAAATGAAATGGCCGCCTTGAGAAATACAAGAAGTGTTAGAATGATAATCATGAAAATTGGTATCCAAACATACCCAACCGCTAATACATACAAGAAATTATGAAATTTGCGATGCTAAATATTTCTTCATGGAAAAAGTAAGAGAACTGAATGATAAAATTAGAATATTTATTTTACCTTTGGGCTTCTTGCTTCAGTTTTTCTTCTTCATTCTTTTTCTGTTTCTCTTCCTCCAATCTTAATCTTTCTGCTTCAGCTTTCTCCTCGTTTTCCTTTTCCTTCCTAAACACATAAGCGCTTAAATTAAAATACTTTATTTTTCTTTTTTAAATTACAAAATCAATCCTTCAAACAACACTATTCACAAATTTAACTGATGCAAGATGCAAGATTATACAAAACTGAGCAGTGCAAGGCAAAACAATGCTATCCAACTTAGTTGATGAGTTGAGACAGAAATTGATGCAAAAAATTTTGGTAGCTCTCCTATCTTTAGCAAAAATGTTTAGCTCCTCAAAATGTGATGTTAAAGTTTGGAGGTTAAGAGCTGTCAGATGAATTTTATCAATAATATTTATGTCACTCTTGTCCTGGAATTTTTTGCCATTTTACCAGTCTCCGTGTACTTTAAGGCAAATTGACAAGACACCACAAGTTCCAAGTGAACTTTTAAATAAACTGGATGCATCTTTTATTAGTGCATAGAATAGAGGATAAACTAGAAGCAGGTACCTCATGACAGCACTTTACAGGGAAGGAGAATTCAATTTTGGAGAGGCCAATATTTATAGCCTCATCATTATCACGCGTCAATTTTTATCAACTATTGACTTTATTTGTTGACACCTGTTACAAACCCAGCATCATTACGGGCTTTATCTCCCCTTCCTGCTATTATCAATAGACCCCTCTCTTATCAGATCAAATGGCAAACTTTTATATAAGGACTTGTATGAGACATATTGACATATTTATGGGAGATGGCTTGTTTGAACAGGCAGGAGAGTGAAAGACAGGAAAATGAATGTTAACATTCAGTAATAATGATCACTTCAACTTAAATTTACGTACTTTCTCTGTACTCAATACAGAAATCAAGAAGAAAGGCAAAAGAAACTTCAGGATAAATATTTTTGCTAGAAGCCTTAAGTGTTACTTTTCAATTGTGCATCAGTTATAATGATGTGCATGACTACCAGCATCACCTATTAATGACATATTATTCTTTACTTCTGGAGTTTCTTAGGTGAAAGGAAAGTTTCCTACATAGTTGTACCTCCTAATTAAGTGCTTTGGAAAAAGAAACATTCATAAAAGAAAAAGAAGTCTAATCTTAAACTTCTGCCGTCTGATCTTTTGAGGCCTAAGTTCATAATCCACTGCTTGTACGCCCCTGGGCTGGGGACAATGCGTGCCAACAAATATATTGCTAGAAAATAATATACAAGACAAAAGAGGAAAAAATAGAAGAAGGTGAATTGACTTACTGAAGTCTCTCTTGTTCCAGTAAATTTGTTTTATGAGCTTGAACATACGGCTTGAACAACTGACAACCTTGATCTACTAAGTTAATAAAGTTTAGTTTTGCTTCTGTAGATGACATATCTCCTAAGTTTTGCCATGCCAATCTGAAAATAATTAAAATTAATATAGATCATTTAAACTTCCATTAATTTTTGATGCTTTATTTCCTGTGTAAGCTTTCAGCTTTAGTAAAGGGTGCACAAGGTGGTCCTAATTTCAGGGGGTTAAATATTTGGACTTCAATTTCAATTCGAAGGATATATCTGTCAGTACCTAACGATTGTTTAAAATTGCTATAACTTCTTTCATTTTAACAAAACAAGTTTCAGAATCACTTAGTGATCAAAGCGTTCTAAAAAATCAAATATATTCATGATTGAGTCTTTAAAATTTGTATTCGTAAAAGTCCGATTGAAACTATCTGAGCAAGATTGCAAATTTTCGGCTATCCAAATTATAAATGCTCTACCCTGGAATATCAAAAAACAACTCCGCGACGGTGATATCCGGAAGTTTTTCAATTTACTTCGCGATCTTCTTTTGAGCAAGGCTTTTTATAATTTGAACGAGTTTCTAAACTCATCTGTTGAATAACGTTCTAACCACCAACTAATGTACAGTTGTAATTTATATTTTTAATTATTGTATAGTGTTTCTTGACATGTGCCATAGCCCTAATAATGGGGCTCCCATGTACAAAGTTTTAATAAATAAATAAATAAAAAATAAAATTTGAACCAGTACAGTGTTAGCATGAAGCCAAAAAGTTTACACGCATATCTTTTTTAAGAGAGAACTTTTGTGCGGATTACTTTGAAAATTTTAAGGAATTTACATTGTATTATGGAGAAGATTCACTGAAATTTGCACAAAAATCCGCACGACCGCTTTCATGTGAAAAATTAAATTGCCCATTAAAATTTGGCAATGGCTAATGGGGCTTGGATCTTATCTGTTTAACGCGGTCCAAATGATGCCCAAATTAAAGCCATCCGAGTTATGAATATGCCTACTCTTTGAGAACAGAAAAATTTACCTTTGGTGAGTTCTATTAAAGAAATATTATTAAAACTTTAACCAAATGGGAGAGCTCTAACTGTCATATTAGCTTTGTCTCTATAAATTTTAATAGTGGAAAAATATGTTATAAATAAAAAGATATTCTCATCTCCATTCCAATTTAAGTAAGTAGTGCAAAACTTGTTAATTTCCCAAGAATAAAAATAAAATATACTTCACCTTCTGTCTCTTCCGATTACATCAAGGACACCTACTGGCCGAAGTTTCTCAGGCTCACATTTCCCATGACTAATTTGCTTCATGTATGCTAGTAGTTTCATTTTATCTTGATAGGAAAAATTGACAGCTTTGCCATCTTGTTCTGTAAAATAAGTAAAACCGTTACAATATTATTAGAATGTAAATTAAAATATCAGGATGATAGTTAAAACTCAACTGCATAGTGTAAATTACACAACTGCTACAGTCTTCTGCCAAAGTCCTCTAAGGTTAGTTGTTTTTAGGAGCCATAAATTTATGGTCTTAAAACCAGGATTCCGTCCTGATTAAGGGCTGTTTTTTTAGGAATTCAGACAAAAGTTTCAATACGTACCAAACTAAAAAAAAATATGAAAAATTCAAGGTGAGATAGTAATTTTGATCATAAGCAATTATCACGTAGAACCCAAATATATTAAAAACTTAAGTGACATATGATTTTTATGAGTCCTTTCAGGGATGAAAATGTGTTACCAATTAATCCTAGTCAATGATTTCATCACTGTAATAGATGTACAACAACAATCATAGGCGTAACTTGTTTCCGGGCCATTTTAAGTGTCAATAAGGTAGACCAAAGTGTATCCATGCTAAGTGATACATCGATTTACGATATATTGTCATGTTGCTGTAAGTTCCAACGGTTGGCCTGCATTATATTAAACTTGTTAGCATCTACAGGCAGTTGTGCTATGAAGTTTACTTGGTAATATCCTGCTAGTTTTCAAGATGTGTCGAGTATTTAAAATGCTTAAGGCACATTACTTCAGGTCTATTGCGGGACCTTCAACCAGGAGAGCTTTCATCCCTTGAGAAACTGAAGACTTGCCTCTTTGTAACCATCGAAACTAGTTTAGAGAAAAGCTGTTACAAACTGATGAACACGACTCAGTAGCAAAATCTTTCTCAAACTTAACAGTACGTGTCGATGTCTTCAAATGCTCTGAATTGATAGCGGTGGAAATCCGTCACTAACTTCTCATAAGTGGCATCAGTTCCACTATGACAGCTTAGGGTCAGAGAGAATTTGAGAGCAGTGTGATTTCCGTCACTTTAGCGGTGGAAAATAATTCATACTTCTGAAAAGTAGATGATGAAACTTGATTTCATTTATCAATACAGAGAGAAAGAAATGGGTGTAACATAACCTCACCTCGGTAGAATTTCAAAGCTAGTTTGAAGAGCTCCTCGAGATTGAAACCCCAAGTTTTGGTGAGAGACACATCTGGATCTTCTAAATCTTTATCACATGAATTTACGCGTTCATTTTCGATGGATACTTTAATAATTTCACTTCCATTTGCACTACCGTTCTTTATGACCACATCAGCCATTTTTGTGTTGATAAACCGCTGTTCGCTGTTGTTAGTAATGCAGGGTTGCAAGATGTTAATACTTAATTAAGTCTGCATGTGCTGTGTCCAAAACTTTTTTTTCATCAGTTCTACTAATCGATTATAGTGGTAATTTTGAGTTCCACGCTTCATAAATACTTTGAAATTTTGATAATTTTTACGAATCTGAACCAAATTTGTATTTTTAAAAAGATTAGATCTGACAACCTTGCATCCTGATGTGATAACATTAGTTGACAAAAAACTCTGCAGATGGCATGGAAAGTCGTGAAAAGAAAAAATGGCGGCAATTTTAAAATGACGCGCCTTGCACCAGCCGCGCAATCGATAAATAGAAATAAAATTACAGGCCATGAATTCAAGAAATGTGGTCCTTTCAAAGAATTATTCAGTCCATCTCGATAATTTTTGTAGTGCAGTTTTGTTCTTCTTTTCTTTCGCTCTCCCCTCATACGGAGCAGCCAATGACGTTCATTGATGCTTAAAGAGACTACGAATAAAGTGAAAATGATTGATCTTTTTTACTATTTTTGAGGAGAAAACGTCTTACATAAAAGCAGAATATTTTCTACGTGTGAATGATTATAATTATTTAAATAGAATCTTTCGAGAGAGGCCAGGAAATCCGCCTGGGGAGTCGAGTTAGAAAAGGTGCAACAGCATTCTAATTCTGGCGAACTTTCAAGAACTTTTAGACAAACCCGCGTGACGCAAGCAAAATGATTTTTGGAGATAGTATTGAGTTCGTGCCTCTTCGGAACTGAAATGAAAATTATATTTTAGGGATCGTCGGTTAAAACACCGAAATCATGCAAGTGTCGTAAATCGAGTCATGTGATTGCCGACTTACACCGTCGAAATGGGTAAAATTCCAGGAGCACAAATCCCAAAAGTGCGAATGGAGGTTCAACGTAAAATCGTTTTTTCTATAAGATTTTGGTCTTGCCGCCGGGTTCTGAAGTGACCGTAAGTTGATACACATATATTTCTGACTGAACTTCTTTTTAACTTTTGCGCAAAAACAAATATGTTAGGATACGCGCTCAAAAAGTTTTCCTTGAAGTAGGCTCAGAAAAAGCTCAAGAAGTGCAGAGCCGCAGCCCACGTTGTAAAAGGGAACTTTGTAATCCATTTAAATGATTGAAGCAATTTTCAGAAAATTGACAATGTTAAGGAAAAAAATCAGCAATAGTTTACTTGATCAGCGCAATGTGCAATTACCGTTGGAATCAAGTTAAGGTGTGAGAAAGACAAGTAAAGCAATGAACACCAAGCAACTCTTAGTAGAACTCCTGGATGCAACTATTCGATTGTCACGGATATCCGTGTTGCATAAGCACATAAGTTAAGGCGTGTTTACCTTGCAGGACTCACCACTTCACTCGCGGCTTGGCGCGGTAGCGAGTTTTACTGCGAGATTCCAAAATTACAGAATCAGACAGAGCCTTCAATTCTTCGTTTATACTAAAAAAACATACACTCCGCCTCGTCAAATTAAAAATGTGACTCAATTCCTTCTTCTATGCTATTTTCTTTAAATTATTAGCACATGGAAAATTGGTAATCAGTTTCACATTATGTATTGAAGAAGGTAAGGAAACCGGGGCTTCCCTTGCTTACATACACGCCACGCCATTGCCTACAAGAAATGTACGCCTGTACGGCCTGCTTTTAGTTTACAAATTTCAAATTTATTTATGTAACAACTTTTTCCGATTCTTGTTTTTACCAGTTCTATTTTTATCTCTTCTACCACCTCGTGAACGCACTCGATCCTCCAGAAAACACAAGATGAATTAGACCGTGTTAAACAGAAAGGAACCAAGCCACATCAGCAATTGCAAAATTTAATTGTGCGATTTAATTTTTTGCATGAAAACTATTGAGCGGATTTTCGTGCAAATTTCAGTGAATTTTCTCCGTAGTTCGAATCAAATTCCTTAAAATTTTCAAAGGAATCTACACAAACGTTTTTTCGTAAAAAATTAAATTGCCCAATTCAATTTGGAAATAGCTGATGTGGCTTGGCTCCTTTGCTGTTAAACGCGATCCAATTTTGGTTGCGTGGTTTTGTAAACCTATTTTTAAAACTTGAAAAGTTCCTTTTGTAAGTAACACGATTAAAAAATAAAGGATCTAATAAAAATAATGAATAGATAAAAAAAAGAACAAGGGCTCTTTGCAATAAGTATGTGTATTTATTGCGATCAGCAGTCATTCCACGTTATGATTTTGTTGACTGTAGGATTGAAACCATGCTGAATGAGGAGTGAGGTTAGTTGCAGTTGCTCCATTGGCCCGAGCTTTTTTGCACGCGTTACAATGCCAGTCCAGAGATGCACCAGTGTTCCGTGATGCATACCGCAGTGACTGACGACCATGTATGATTTGGGGTCCGTGTCCACAACAGTTGCCTTGACCTCACCTGTTAAATATTTGAAAGTGTTAGTGAAGAAATTTTCAACTTACTTAAACAGAAAAAGCATTAGTAAAAACAAAACTTATTTTTTTCTTAGTGTGCGTACTGATTTATCTGTAAATAGTACAAGACAGAGTAGGCGAGAAAAATGTGTAACACTATGGTATAAAATTCAAAGGTTACATTTCAAAAAAATTTGGCGCAAAAGGCCTCCAACACTTACGCGGAATGACGATCGACTGATGCGAAGGAAAAAATGGTTTCAACTCATTGTCAGTGCAACTATTCATGCTCAGAGTATAATATGTTGCGTGTACCAAAAATGAAGGCGCCTCGGCTATTCTTGCCCGATCCAAGCAGTAATGAAATGTGCGCGATACGCATTTCGAAGTTGCTAATGAAATGTTCTATTCATTGCTCCCATAAATGAGGGTGTGTAATCAAGGAATGAGGGTGGTAAGGGGCCATCTGGCACATCTCTTATTTGAAGAAGTGAGTGCCAATAGGCTATATCACATTGCAGCTTTCTAAAGTTTTATCTGCCCACGCATTATCCTTTTCATAAAGTTGTTCACTTACCTTTATGTTCACCCGATGTGTTTATCCCATTTCTCTTCTTCTTCTTACTCTAATTTCTCTTGCGCGCCCATTTGACTATGCCAGGAGTTCTAGACTATCAGAAATACAAGGTAAAAAAAAAAAAAAAAAAAAAAAAAAAAAAAAAAAACACGCTTTCCATGTTAGGATTAGGGACCTAAATCAAACATACTACAGTGGGGAAAAAAAGTCGCTTAGATCTAGAGTCCAGACTCTTAATAACATTGACAAGGAAAAATACTCTTGACTCAATCCGATTTTTTGTTGAATCGACGAGCCGAGCCTCTTGATTTAGGCGGATTTTCTTTTGATTCGAGCAAAAAGTCTGATTGAATCAAGAGTCCTTTTTCTTGTCAATGTTTCCAAGAGTCTGGACTTTAGATTCTATGTGGTGTTTTTTTTTCCAGTGTATAGGGTCGCAAAAAAGTTCAATTCCTTCTCCTCAGGAAATGCACATCGATATTTATAATGACAGATCGAGATAGCGTTATTTGCCTCTCACGTACCTCCAAGTGGGGTGAGGACCGTCCAAACTGCAGGCTTGACTATGCGCGTGGGTAGGTCGAGCACGGCGCTGTGTTCACCCATCATCCCTGGCATGTCCACGTTCCAGACCTGCCGCAAGCTTGTCTCATTGAGCCGCTGCAATTCACCCCGAACGCACAACGAGTTCTCTACATACTCCTCGCTTGCAGCATCCAGGATCAGGTACGCCAAGTGCCATTTGCCCAGCAACTGAACATAATATTTCCTCTCTCAGTGAATACATTTAATGGGAATTTTCGAAGGAATCACGTAAAAAAACCTAAGATTGAAGAAATTTACGAAAATTCATTAAAGTGAAATGTATTCTCTTTTAAATATTTAGAACAAAGGATTTGCCCAAGGAATGCGGCGCCGGCTAAATTTTCGAGTTTTCAAAGTGGCAATTTCGAAGAATGCGCAGCTAGACACGAAGGACTTTGGCCTTCGGCAGAAAGGTTGGAGAGGAAAAAAATTCAGTGAGGAAAAAGGGAAATGAGAGAGAGGAACAGATAAAGCAGAGGGAGATGAGGAATTGAAAAAGAAAATCAGGTGGAGAAGGAGAAGAAGGGGAAGAAGGGGAAGAAGAGGAAAAAGTAAAAGAGGAAGACGGAGGAGAGGAAAGTCTTATTTTGACTCAAGAAGTTGACTCTCGACACTATTTCACCGAATTCAAAAACACGCCCCGTGTATACAATTAGGATGATTCCACACTGATATCCATCTTTGCACTTCTGATCGCTCGGCGGTGCGAGTTTGACATGTCATTGACGGATACTGAAATGCAGTTACTAAAATTTGGACCCGGGGGCCGCATTCTGTCGGTCCTTTCACATAGAAGTACAATATCCTTGCCACCAGCAAATCAAAAGCGCCAAGCCGCACTTAAGTGCAGTCGAGATTCACCTTAAGTATACATTTAAGTCCGGAGGAAGGACCAACAAAATTCGGCCCCTGGTTTTTGAATGCGATTCATTGCGCGCATCCTAAACGCCCATAGAGAATAAAAGGAGGTGCGTTTGCATTTCGGGCATCTTGGACTTTTTTTGATGACGTTGTTCAGCACAGCGACTTTTATCATCAATTTTCTTGGAAATGGTGTAATTTATGGGAAAAAGTCATTTTATAAAAGTGCTTGAAATGATATCATGAATTAATTCAAGCAAAAAAATGGGACATTATGGTCCGTTTTTCATACTTCGAATTCCGGATTTCGACGGCCAGGTTGTACCGACCTACTTCACAGGGTAAACATACCTCAAGATGCAAACACTTCCTTTTTTTCTCTATGCTAATCGCCATAGCATGCAAACGATCCTTAATATTATGACATACCTCATCCAAGTCGACGATCTTAGCCGGTCTCAAAACCGGACAAGGTCGAAGGTTGTTGTAGAGGGCCAAGGCACTGGCCAGGTGCAGCGAAAGAGCGAATAAAAACACAGAGTAGGCAACACGACGCAAAACCACGAGACCCTCCATGGTGACACCGACCAGTTGACAATCAAACGCTTCTGCGACTCCGTGTTTGACTCCTCTTCAAGCGCCGGACTGGGCTTTGACCTACTCTTCTTATCAAAGGATGCTCCGGCGATGACGGTTTTCCGCTCATCGCAACTCAGATGAAGGGAGAAAACTGGGTTGTTCTAGGATTTCGGTGAAATCTGGTCACTGCGCGGTCCAGTTTTTCAGAAGTCCCTCTTTGATCAAGCGCGGCCAGGAAATCGGCTCTCTGTGTCACGATTATGGTAGGACGTTATCCCTGGCAGTTTTCAGCCTTCAGCGAGCGAAGTGATTCCTTCGGGAGATGCGAATGGAGATGTTGCAAGCGTGAGGAATTTGCGATTTGACTGATGATTCTTATGTAAAAGTTCGCGAGGAACACGATGGTGCCACTACTGGTTTTCTCTGAGATCAACTCCTAAGCTCAAAAAAAGCTCTCAAGTTGAGGCCAAAATGGAGGGGACATCCCACTCTACCCTGAGAGTACACGTCTACATCAAGGCATACTCTCCATGCAAAGATAGGGAGCAAATACATTGACAGGGCTGCCACTTTATTTGGGGACTCTAAAACTGAAAACACGGCAACCCTGCTAATAATGTATTTGCTCCCTATCTTTGCATGAAGAGTTTGTCTTGATGTAGAGGTGGACTTTCGGGATTGCGTGGTATATCCCCTCTATTTTGGTCTCAACTTGAGAACTTTTTTGAGCTTGGGACTTGATTTCAGAGAAAACCAGTGGCACCGTCGTGTTTCTCGAGAACTTTTACATTTACATAGGACTCAACAGTCAAATCGCAAATTCCTCACACATGCAACATCTCCATTGATTCCTTTGGGAGATGCGAATTTGAATGGTAAAATTAGCCTAAGCATGACTCGTGCACTGAGAGTGAAGTATTTACGCATCACGCGATAAAACTGATTCAAGCTCTATGCAGTATCTCAAGTTGCGTAACGCTTGAAATGAAGGAGCGATTGATTTCTTATTCTTATTTCTCCCGGCTCGCTGATCACACGAGTTTTGCTAACGACAGCTAATTTGCTATGTCTAACTTTATATGAAAAGGGAATCGTTAGAATCCAGAGCTCCAAATTGCTGTTATGGTTATTTTGGCAATCACAAAATACAATTTAAGCAATCATAAAAATTGTGGCATTTTTTTCATTTAGCAGAGGAATCGACCCGACGGTTTTTTTCGATATACACAGCAGATACCAAAATAATCCACGAGTTTTTCATCATTCAGTACATCGCTCGTTTTCCAACTTTTACTCGTTAATTTTAGCTTCATTTTATCACCACTATTAAACTTGTTAATCGTATTGTTTTATAGTTTATCCACTTATGCCCAAAATCCGTTTGATAAAGTTATTCCTTGTCACTTATATTTCTTAAGTGAAAGATTTTGCCTCATAGGCTTTCTCATTTTTTACTCAAATTGGCAAAATCTGAACATATAATATCTCAATTTCTCATTAAAACTCTCTCAACCTATGTATTTTTTCTCGTGTTGATTATCCGGAAAAGAGATTATCAAATCAATACTTTCGGACCTTCGGGGTCTTGGTCTATGGTGTCAGAAACTTTCTCTGTCTCTCCTCCCCCGCAGTCCAAGTGTAACATGTACAATATCTCGCGTCTGCCCTCTGGTGGTGAACAATTGCTCCCCAAAAAACTGTAGAAGTAAGAAGAATTGTTTTCTGAAACTTCCCTCTCCGTGTACGCTCTATTCTCACATCGCACTGTGACGGGTGGGCGGCTTTAATTTATTAGTTCACGGTTAATTTATGTCACACTTTAGCAGGATAGTGAGAAGACAAGCGAAGGGGGAATAAATGGAATCAACTGCTTCTAATCAGCTGTATAAATTATTGGTCGGTTCATCTCTCATTCCCTTGTCACTCGCATTTTCAAAACGTCAATCTACGGAAAAAGCACGCGTTGAATCTTGAAACTGAATCGTTTTACTGAGAATAACATTTTATAACCGTCTATTTTCATGTAAAACACTCTAATCTCTGGTTGATTTTCATGAGGAAAAAACAGTTATTATTACTTCTCAAAACTCCTGATATTTTTAATTTGTCAACCTTCGTTTGCATAATCATTTGAAATGTAACGCCTTTAAATGTAAGTAAAAATTAAATCGCATGTGACGAATTCCAGCCATCGTGCACTTGCGTTACTTTGCCTTTGATGACGACGGTCGGCTACCGAGAATTTTTACCCCCAAAAATATGAATAGAATAATATTCAGGAAAGACAATACAATGTTGCCACATCATATATAGGTGTTGACCTTCAAAGTAGAGGGTTAAAGCTGTCTTCTTTTTATTTTATTTTTACATATTATATTTTTCTAAATTGACTTTCGATTTAAATAAAATACTTGTTTTCCAACAGCTAGAGCGGAATCGGCGAGCTGGGATAGTTTCTCATCGCATTTCGGCCACGATCATGCGGTTTGTTCATAGCTGTGGTGGCTCAAGACTAGTCAATATTTCACTTACATTGATTCTCACTCGTTTCAATCGATGCGAGTGAAGTAATAAGCCGCTAAAGCCATGAACGAACCGTGTACTCCCGGCCGAATTGCGACGAGCAACTATTACTGCTCCCGAGCCGCACACATTGCCTATCGAAATATTGAAGGCGAACTGATCCGATCGAGTGAGGAACAGTGTGAGAAGAATATAAACCCACTGATGCCACAAACTATGCAGGGCCCACTGATTTGAAATGTAGATCTCAGAGTACTCACAATTGAAAGATCTAGTGGTATTAACGGAGATCTATAGGCCTTATGAAAACGAAAAAGGAGCCCCCCTTAGAGGGTTCCCCAAATCATGATCACCTCCTAACTATTTCGCTGCCAGTCCGCCCCTGGATTGAAGGTTTTCCTGTGAGAAATTCAAAATTGAAAAAATTATTCAGAGTATTATAGAAATACTTATATAGTATTTATCATCAGCACTGAGCCACGCAAGAATTAAACTCCAAGCCTATTTCCCTCGGTGTTGTATTGATGTCAGTGGCATAGCGCACTTTGCGATATATCGATTGATCTGCCATTTAAACATATGTATGAAAAAGGATTGATAAACAAGATGTTCGCAAAGAATACCTTCATAATCACTCTTTACCACAGCTCCAAGTGAGGAAATGTCGATGATCAATCACGTCACTGATGGATAATCGTCATTAAACGGAAGATCAGATATCACGTCAGAATCTCACAATCAGCGAAAAATATAGTATTCTCATATCTAAAATATTCTTCAAGACTGAATTTTGATGGCACAGGAATACTTTTATCGTCCCATGCATCTATGCGGGAAAGAAAATGCACATCACTAAAAATGGCAGCATCTACTCCCGAAACTCACTGAAGTGGGAGCCGCACCGCACCGCATGCCGCGTGACCACGTTATGTCAGAATCTGATAATGTAACCCTTTTTGTGGGCTCGCAAACACAGCTGCCCCCGTGCAGAAACCGGGGCACCCTTTTCAAAAAAGGGTACAAAAAAGGAAACCCGAACAGGAGCCTTTCGAGAATACCTGGGCAATGGACACCCATTTGAATTTCGTTGCTATTTTTTCGGACCTTTGTTGTCCGAGCCTATTCTCAACTCGAATCAGAATAATGTTTTTTCTTCTCTCTCGATCTCAATCCTTTCATTCTTCCGTTGCGGATTATTGCAGTCTTCCTCACTCAAAAGACCTTTTTCGCAGATTTCGTCGGGTAAAAAGGAACGGCTGGCTGCATTCTATACCTCTCCCGAATTGGAACGAAAATGAAATTGCAAGTTCGTACATCGCACTGTGAATGGATAATATTGGCCAGAAGGTCTGATCTAAAAGGATTTTATTCATATCGCGAAATGAAGTCAAAGTTTCTCTGTCTTTTTTTTTTTTTTTTTTAATTAACAGTTGTACAAAAATTTGCTTGTACATTAACAGTGGATATTTCATATTATACGACACACGATACACTTCTTGAGCAAGCTTCATATTTCTCTAAAAACGCCATGCATCCTCTCACTAAACAAGGCAGTCTTTTCAGCTAAAATCATTGGAGGAAAAGTTGTTCAGCGGGGGCATTTGCCTGAGGAGGGTATAAAACAAACAAAAAATATCCAAAAATGCTCATTAAAAATGCTCATTAGAAATTGATCAAAATTGCCACAAATAAGATCAAATTTAAATCGCAGGACCTGCGTTGGCATTACGTCCGCTGTTAACATAGAGCAGGCTACTTTCAAAGCGAGAAAAATCTACCAAGCTCCAGATCGAGGGCTTCCGATTATCAAAACGCTGAGCGGTAAAAGATGATCGATTCGCGAATCATGAACGAGGAACCTTCATGTATCATGAATTTAAAAAAAATAGATTCTGTTCGTACTTTTTTTATTTTTTTAAATTTCCAGGCTTTCCTGCTGGCAAAAGGTATAGAATGAAAGCCTCGGTTGAATTCTTATGGAAATCCGGGTCAGTTTCCTTGTGTAAAGAATAGGTAAATTTTTTATTTCCATTTTTTTAAAACAGTAAAGACACACCATAAAAGCTCGGCAAGTCATCTAAATGTATACACATTTCAACGTAAAAACAGGGCATTATAGGTGAGTGCCTCACCAAGAATCGATTGCTTTACACACATTTAAATGGAGGAAAAACAGTGTTGCCATTTTTCTAGAATCGCCACAACTGTGGAGGCTAAGTGGAGGATGATGAACCTGATTTCCTTCAGTGTGGTTTAATGGATTCAGGAAAGCTATGTTAACCTCGACACGCTCCTCCTGATCCCGACACTGTCTATATCATAAATTCGAAGGGACAGAATCACCATCCTCACGGCGTTCATCTATCCAGGCGGATGTCCGATGTCGGACAAGCCACATCCAAAAGTGTTTCTGTGTTCGGAGTCCCCGGGGACCGGTCTGCAAATCCCTCATTCCGGTTGTTTTGATTCCGAAGCGCTAAAAAAAGTGCTTCCGCGTCCGGGAGTCCTGCCTCTATTAATATCAT